GTCAACCTTTTGCTTGTGAAACTCAGTGGTTGCTGTCACAGGACGTCCAGCTCCTTGTTTGTCACACAAGTCAGATGTTTCCACCTCAACATCTTTAAACTTACTCGCCCAACGACGCACAGTACTCACATCAACACAATCACCACAAACAGCTTGCATTCTCTGATGAATCTCCTTTGGGGTGACACCTTCTGCTGTCAAGAATTCAATGACTGTTCATTGTTTAAGTCGCATTGACCGACCGTCTTGCACAGGGTTCCATACTTAACAATACAACCATTCAATGCTAAGGCTTCCCACCAAAATGAAATTGTAGAGGAGAGTCTACTGAACAAGTCAGTACCTGCCGCATATCGGTACTGCCATGTGATGAGGAGTTACGAAGGTGGAGGCATTACTTTTCCTTCAACCCTTATATGTGTATATGTTTATATATGTGGTTTTGTGCATGTGTTGTAACAGCTTTTTTACAGCTTGCATTCTCTGATGAATCTCCTTTGGGGAGACACCTTCTGCTGTCAAGAATTCAATGACTGTTCGTTGCTTAAGTCGCATTGACCAACCGTCTGCACAGGGTTCCATACTTCACACTTTAACAACACAGCCATTCAATGCTAAGGCTTCCCATCAAAATGGAACTGTAGAGGAGAGTCTACTGAACAAGCCAGTATCTGCCGCAAACCAGTACTGCCATCTGATGAGGAGTTATAAAGGTGGAGGCATTACTTTTCATTCAACTCTCGTATTTCATCTTGTTCCCACCAGAGTGGAAATAATCTATGGGACAGGTGGCAAGCTATTTAACCTCAGTAGACTGAAAGCCAAAACCAAGGTCACAACATCTGTTACAGAACTCCAATATGCTGATGATAATGTAGTCTTTGCACATTGAGAAGACTTATGAGCCACTCTAAATGCTTTTGCAGAAGCATACAAAAAGCTGAATATTGGGAAAACCAAAGTGCTCTTTCAGCAAAAAGCACCAGTCAATTCCTCTGCAATGCCGAAAATACAGCTTAATGGTCTCGTATGTGTGTTGTTGTTCATTCGTTCAGTCGTCTCCGACTCTTCGTGACCTCATGGACCAGCCCACGCCAGAGCTCCCTGTCGGCCGTTACCACCCCCAGCTCCCTCAAGGTCAGTCCAGTCACTTCAAGGATGCCATCCATCCATCTTGCCCTTGGTCGGCCCCTCTTCCTTTTGCCTTCCACTTTCCCCAGCATAATTGTCTTCTCTAGGCTTTCGTGTCTCCTCATGATGTGGCCAAAGTACTTCAACTTTGTCTCTAGTATCTTTCCCTCCAGTGAGCAGTCGGGCTTTATTTCCTGGAGGATGGACTGGTTGGATCTTCTCGCAGTCCAAGGCACTCTCAGCACTTTCCTCCAACACCACAGTTCAAAAGCATCGATCTTCCTTCGCTCAGCCTTCCCTAAGGTCCAGCTCTCACATCCGTAGGTTACTACAGGGAATACCATGGCTTTGACTAGGCGTATGTGTATATGTGTATATATGTGGTTTTGTGCAATTTTTTTGTTTTTTGGCTTTTAAAGTCTCTTCCGCTCAGTTTTTCAGTGTTTTTATGAGTGATGGTCACTCATTGGTCTGATAGGTGTATTGTATCCAAATTTGGTGTCAATTTGCCCAGTGGTTTTTGAGTTATGTTAATCCCACAAACGAACATTACATTTTTATTTATATAGATAGATGAGAATTGTACTTCATGGAAGTATCCAAGGGCTCCTTCCTGTTAGGAAGGAAGCTGTGGATGTTTCCATGGAGTACAATATAAATATAATTATATTATAATATAATAATATTATATTATAATATAAGAATATTATATTATAATATAATAATATAATAATATAATATTATAATATAATATTATAATTATATTATAATATAATATTATAATATTATATATATTGTATATACATATATACACATATATATATACATACAATTATAATGTAATGCAATATTATACTAATAATAATATGTAATGTTATAATAATAATAATAATAATAATAAAATGTAATGCAGTATAATAATAATAATAATAATAATAATAATAATAATAATAATAATAATAAAACTCCAAGTGGCCTGCTACTGGTCAAAGGACATTTAATCAACTACCAAGCTTGCAAAATTTGTGTTTTGTCTGTTTGTTTGGTTTTTTTTTGTTTTGTTCAAAATGTAATACAACTGTCTGGTTGCTCCTGACACGATAAACAAACAAACAAATAATATATTTATATTACATGTAATATTACTAATAATATTACAGTATAATTGATGTATGTACATGTAATACAACTGTCTAGTTGCTCCTGGGAATTTCTCAAGAGTGAAATACTCAAGGCACAATTGCAAACCGTGCCAACAAAGAGAAAAAATAGGACAAGTGCAAAGAAGCCAGAATGGATGTCCAAAGAACTTCTAACTGTGCTAAGACACAAAAGAGACATGCACAAGAAGTGGAAAAAGGGAGAAATCACCAAAGAAGAATTCAAACAAATAGCCAACACCTGTAGGGAAAAGGTCCGCAAGGCTAAAGCAAAAAACGAGCTCAGACTTGCCAGGGACATTAAAAACAATAAAAAGGGCTTCTATTCTTATGTCAGTAGAAAAAAGGAAAAACAAGGAGGTGATAGGACCTCTTCGAGGAGAAGATGGGGCAATGCTGACAGGGGATAGGGAAAAGGCAGAACTACTTAATGCCTTCTTTGCCTCGGTCTTCTCACAAAAAGAGAGTCTTCAACCTCAGCAAGATGGAGTGGATGAGGGATTGGAGGACATCCAACCCCAAATTGGGAAAGAAGTCGTCCAGGAATACCTGGCCGCTCTTAATGAGTTCAAGTCCCCTTTCAGGGCCAGATCAACTCCACCCAAGAGTATTGAAGGAACTAGCGGAAGTCATTTCGGAACCATTGGCAACCATCTTTGAGAGTTCTTGGAGAACGGGAGAAGTTCCAGCAGATTGGAGGAGGGCCAATGTGGTCCCAATCTTCAAGAAGGGAAAAAAGGATGACCCAAACAATTACCGTCCGGTCAGCCTCATGTCGATACCAGGCAAGATTCTGGAAAAGATTGTTAAGGAAGCGGTCTGCAAACACTTAGAAACAAATGCAGTCATCGCTAATAGTCAACATGGATTTATCAAAAACAAGTCATGCCAGACTAATCTGATCTCTTTTTCGATAGAGCTACAAGCTGGGTAGATGCGGGGAATGCCGTGGATGTAGCGTACCTGGATTTCAGTAAGGCCTTCGACAAGGTCCCCCATGACCTTCTGGCAAGGAAACTAGTCCAATGTGGGCTAGGCAAAACTACGGTGAGGTGGATCTGTAATTGGTTAAGTGGACGAACACAGAGAGTGACTCACTAATGCTTCCTCTTCATCTTGGAAAGAAGTGACAAGTGGAGTGCCGCAGGGTTCCGTCCTGGGCCCGGTCCTGTTCAACATCTTTATTAATGACTTAGATGAAGGGCTAGAAGGAAGGATCATCAAGTTTGCAGACGACACCAAATTGGGAGGGATAGCCAATAGTCCAGAGGACAGGAGCAGAATTCAAAACGATCTTGACAGATTAGAGAGATGGGCCAAAACTAACAAAATGAAGTTCAACAGTGACAAATGCAAGATACTCCACTTTGGCAGAAAAAATGAAATGCAAAGAGACAGAATGGGGGATGCCTGGCTCGAGAGCAGTACGTGTGAAAAAGATCTTGGAGTCCTCGTGGACAACAAGTTAAACATGAGCCAACAATGTGATGTGGCGGCAAAAAAAGCCAATGGGATTTTGGCCTGCATCAATAGGAGCATAGTGTCTAGATCTAAGGAAGTAATGCTACCCCTTCTATTCTGCTTTGGTTAGACCACATCTGGAATATTGTGTCCAATTCTGGGCACCACAATTCAAGAGAGATATTGACAAGCTGGAATGTGTCCAGAGGAGGGCGACTAAAATGATCAAGGGTCTGGAGAACAAGCCCTATGAGGAGCGGCTTAGGGAACTGGGCATGTTTAGCTTGAAGAAGAGAAGGCTGAGAGGAGATATGATAGCCATGTATAAATATGTGAAAGGAAGCCACAGGGAGGAGGGAGCAAGCTTGTTTTCTGCTTCCTTGGAGACTAGGACGCGGAACAATGGCTTCAAACTACAAGAGAGGAGATTCCATCTGAACATGAGGAAGAACTTCCTGACTGTGAGAGCCGTTCAGCAGTGGAACTCTCTGCCCCGGAGTGTGGTGGAGGCTCCTTCTTTGGAAGCTTTTAAGCAGAGTCTGGATGGCCATCTGTCAGGGGTGATTTGAATGCAATATTCCTGCTTCTTGGCAGAAAGGGGTTGGACTGGATGGCCCATGAGGTCTCTTCCAACTCTTTGATTCTATGACACCATAAATAAATAAATAAATATTTATATTGCATGTGATATTACTAATAATATTACAGTATAATTGCTATAGTACAATATAGCAATATTTAAAACTGATATTGTACTGTGCTAATAATATATTGTATGAATATATGCATTGTAAGCCGCTCTGAGTCCCCTTCGGGACTTTACAAATGTCGTAAATAAATAATAAACAAATAAATGAAGAGTAAGGAAGAATTTACAATCACAAAACTAGAAATGATCTTAAGCTCATTTCCTCTTCCAATAGAAATCGGAAGCATGAGCCAAAGCTGGGGTTAGAGGTGAATGGACAGATCCCGCTTCCTATCAACACAAAGGCAAACCTGTATTTGGGGAAAATACCCAGCAAGGTCACAAAGAAGACCGTGCTGGAGGACTTGTAGGAGGGATCTGCAAACTTGGGCCCTCCGGGTGTTTTGGACTCCAACTCCCACAATTCCTAACAGCCTACCGGCTGTTAGGAATTGTGGGAGTTGGAGTCCAAAACACCCAGAGGGCCCAAGTTTACAAATGTCTGACTTATAGCATTACACAGAATTTACATGCATATCCAGACCTTGCTCCAGCCTTACCTTTGTAAGTTCTGCGGTCTGTACAAGCTTGTTTTTGCTACCGGCATACATCATCTGCTGCTCAGGCTTGCACCCTGTAATTGCAGGAAACGGGGAAGAGGGAAGAGGCAAAGCAAAAGAAATGCATGAGACCGGCCTGTGGTACCAGATGCCTTGCTCCAGTCCATATGTGCAAAAACGATTCTCCAGGAAAACCAGCCTGTTCTCTTCTTGCAGAGATTTCCTCTCTGGATATACGCTAGCAATCCCCAGCGATGCAGATTGAGATGAAGCTTAGCAAAACTCTTCACCGTAACACACATACACACTCCCTCCTTGCCTCCATCACAAAGTGCAAACATGTCTCTGGATTTGATTGTTTACTAATATGGTTAAAAATGCTCTCAGTCTAGAAGAAACACCAAACTAGAAAGAAACACCAGGACTGTGATGCAGCTGTCTGAGTGTCTGCTGCATTAAGATCACTTCTGAACAAAAGGTCATAAGTTCGAAGCCAGCCCAGGTCGGAGTGAGCTTCCAACCAATTGTGTAGGTTGTTGTCGACCTTTGCAACCCGAAAGACAGTTGCATCTGTCAAGTAGGAAAATGTTGTGGCTCAGCTTGATTCTGAGCCTGAAACTGAACCCTCTTGTGAGCCTGAAATGTTCCCTGATGAAGAGGATGATGGGATTCAGATTTCTGGGCCTGTTCCTATGCTGTGCCTCTTTCAGACAGTGCACCAGAGGAGTCAACAAGTCAGTTCTCATGGGAAAAGAATGCCAGCGAGTTAGACAATGACCAGGTGCAGAGGCCTTCACTTGCTCAGCCTTCTCACGCTGATACTGATAGAGAAGAGAGCCTTGATAGTGATTTAATGAGCAGGCAGGAACGTTTAGATTGGCGGGTCATGGTTAGACCACACCTGGAATATTGTGTCCAATTCTGGGCACCACAATGCAAGAGAGATATTGACAAGCTGGAATGTGTCCAGAGGAGGGCGACTAAAATGATCAAGGGTCTGGAGAACAAGCCCTATGAGGAGCAGCTTAAGGAGCTGGGCATGTTTACCCTGAAGAAGAGAAGGCTGAGAGGAGATATGATAGCCATGTATAAATATGTGAGAGGAAGCCACAGGGAGGAGAGAGCAAGCTTGTTTTCTGCTTCCTTGGAGACTAGGACGCGGAACAATGGCTTCAAACTACAAGAGAGGAGATTCCATCTGAACATGAGGAAGAACTTCCTGACTGTGATGAGAGCTGTTCAGCAGTGGAACTCTCTGCCCCGGAGTGTGGTGGAGGCTCCTTCTTTGGAGCTTTTAAGCAGAGGCTGGATGGCCATGTCAGGGGTGATTTGATGCAATATTCCTGCTTCTTGGCAGAATGGGGTTGGACTGGATGGCCCATGAGGTCTCTTCCAACTCTTTGATTCTATGATTCTATGATTCAGGAGGAGTTCGCAGTTAGCCAGCAAGAAAGAAGCCAGGTCGGTGAAAGGTCACCGTAATGCTTTCATGTTGGCAAAAGCATAATGTTGTCATGGTGGCAAAAGCTATTTAGGCTTCTGGTTAACAAAGGGAAGGTGTCAGTTCAACGTGGCTTTTTGCATGAAAGCTTCTATGGAATAACCTTGGCTTTAAAGCAGCACGCTTTGGGCTTCCTGAATTGGAATTCTTGGGGCTTGTGTTTCACTGTTTTTACCATGGACTCTGATTTGACCATTGCTTAAAGGATTATATTTTATGTTCTTACCTGAGGATCTTTGGAACTGTGTTTTGCATTTAACCTTTGTCTTTGGAACTTTGCATTGCTTATTCTATGCTTTGACTTTGATTTTTCCTCAATAAACTACAAAATCTACAGCTCTTGTGTGGTGATGTTTGGGAGCAAGGTGAAGCCTACTCTGAGTTGCAACAGAAAATTAGGTACCACCTATGTGTGGGGATGGTAATTTAACTAATTTACGAGGTCATAATAAAGACTCCAGCAAAAGCATGCGGGGAATGCGGAAGTATTTCATCAGTGTTGCAGATGGACAATGAAAGTGACAGCTCCCCCGGCGGCCAGAAAAGTTAAGACTTGGACCTGCTCCTAAACACAATCAGCACTGACAAAATTACCATCTTGTACTTGTAGCTATAGACAATGAATCCGCTCTGAATCCCATTGGGGAGATAGAGCAGAATATAAATAATAATTATTATTATCTGTCAGGTGCAAAATGCTATCCTACTCAGATCTGCACGCATTATTCAGCGATACATTACACAGTCCTAGACACTTGGGAAGTACCCAGCGTGTGATCCAATACAACAACCAGCAGAGTGATCTTGTTTGCTGTGGACTCATCTTGTTGTATTTCAAACAATAATAATGATTTTTTTAAATTTAGATGACAATCAGAAATAGGAGAAGTGGGCTTTTGGTAACCATATATTCAGATCTCCAGGATGGTATCCTTTTTGGGACATCTCAGCAGTGCGCCTTGCTCAAGACGCATCAGTGAAAGTGCTAATAACAAACTATGGATGGATCAATAAGGAAAAGAGGTGAAGACGTCATGTTTGTTTCCTTTATGGGCCCCGATCTGGAAGAAAGCTGGGACACCTATGGCCAAGCAAAGCCAGAGTGTGGTCAAGGGGACAAATGAGATGATGGAGGAAAATAGATGCAAGAGAGCACAGTCAGGAGCTGTTTGCTTTTGCCTGAACTTTCTGAGTGGCTTCCTCTCCTTCAGTCATGATCATCCATTCAAAGAAACAAGCACAAAGTACATTAAACTACAATAAGCCTGAGCATATGTACAGAGTGCCATTTCCTGCACCATTGAAAGTTGTCCCTTTGTTGTTGTGGGTCTTTAAGTCCTTTCTGTATCTAATAATAACAATAATAATAGATGGAGGTACATCCCCCAGCTACTCCCACCTGAATTAGTCCCAGCTTCACTTACCAACTGGGCTGGAGAAGATGAAGCAGAGCGGGTAAGAGACTCTCCCATCGTCATGCTGGTACTTGTAGCTATAGACAATGAATGTTTGCTTTAGATAAGGAAAGCAAGGGGAGCTTCTGTCTTAAAGAAAAAAGATAGCCTTCACAATAGCCTTAAGCCACAGCTTTAAAGGAGCAAAGTTTTGTAAGACATATAAATTCCTCTCCGAAGGGGTGCTGTACTGACTCGCTTGCAAGAGGAATATTCCTTTTGTCACAAGCAGCAGTAATGTCTAAGGATGCATCTACACTGTAGAATTAATGCAGTTTGGCACCACTTTAACTACCATGGCTCAATGGTATGGAATCCTGTGATTTGTCTTTTGGTGAGGCAGAGAAGGCAAAAAACCTTGTAAAGCTGCAACTCCCATTGATTCAAAAGCACCAGGATTGCGTCAGCTGCATTAAGATCACTTCTGACCAAAAGGTCATGAGTTCGAAGCCAGCCCAGTTTGGAGTGAGCTTCCAGCCTTTCGTCTAGCTTGTTGTCGACCTTTGCAACCAGAAAGATAGTTGCATCTGTCAAGTAGGAAATTTAGGTACCACCTATGTGTGGGGAGGCTAATTTAACAAAATTTATGAGGCCATAAAAAGACTCCAGCAAAAAAAGCATGCGGGGAGTGCGGAAGTACTTCATCAGTGTTGCAGATGGACGATGAAAGCGACAGCTCCCCTGGTGGCCAGAAAAAGTTAAATAGCTTCTGACTGTCTGTCTATATCTGTTGTGTGTCTTTGGCATTGAATGTTTGCCATATATGTCTACATTGTAATCCGCCCTGAGAAGGACAGGATATAAATACTGTAAATACATAAATAATTACGATCAAGTCAGGAGGAGCTATAGTTTTAGCTACCAGGAATAGCCTTCTAATAAGGGGCCACAGTGATGCAATGGATTCAACCGCTAAGCTGCAGAACTTGCTGATAGGAAGGTCAGCGGTTCCAATCCATGGACAAGTTGAGCTCCCGCTGTTAACCCCAGCTTCTGCCAACCTAGCAGTTCCAAAACATGCAAATGTGAGAAGATCACATTAACGTTAATGTTCATTTCTATTACAGCATTTGCATACTTTTAGGTTTTGAATTGTACTGGTTTTATCGTAAGCTGCTTTGAGTCTCTTTTTAGAGAGGAAGAAGCGGAATACAAATAATAATAATAATAATAATAATAATAATAATAATAATAATAATGCTTCGGCAGTGAACGTGCTATCACACTGCATTCAGTTTGTAGTTTCATATGCTTTAAAACAAACTTTATATGTCGAAGCTGCATGGTCATCTGCCGGGAGTGCTTTAACTGGGTTTTCCTCCATGACAGGAGGCTTTTAAAAATGAAGGTATTTCAGATCAATTCAACACCACCTGAGCTCTGCGAGTGCAGCATTTTTCCCAATGATGCAGAGAGTGTTTGAGGATCAGGACATCCGTAGGGATTCCAAGGTGCTTGCTTGTTTATAAAGCTATTGTCCCTCCAACTCTGCTATACGCTTGCAAGACGTGGACTGTCTACAGACGTCACATGCAACTCCTGGAAAGATTCCATCAGCGCTGCCTCCGGAAAATCCTGCAAATCTCTTGGGAAGACAGGCGGACAAACGTCAGCGTGCTGGAAGAAGCAAAGACCACCAGCATTGAAGCGATGGTCCTCCGCCATCAACTCCGCTGGACCGGCCACGTTGTCCGGATGCCCGACCACCGTCTCCCAAAGCAGTTGCTCTACTCCGAACTCAAGAATGGAAAACGCAATGTTGGTGGGCAAGAAGACATTTAAAGATGGGCTGAAAGCCAACCTTAAAAACAGTGGCATAGACACCGAGACCTGGGAAGCCCTGGCCCTTGAGTACTCCAGCTGGAGGTCAGCTGTGACCAGCAGTGTTGTAGAATTTGAAGAGGCACAAATGGAGGCTGAAAGAGAGAAACGTGCCAGGAGGAAGGCGCATCAAGCCAACCCCGACCAGGACCGCCTTCCACCTGGAAACCAATGCCCTCACTGTGGGAGAAGATGCAGGTCAAGGATAGGGCTCCACAGCCACCTATGCACCCACCGCCAGGACACCGAACTTGGAGGACCATCATCCTCGGACTTAGGGATCGCCTAAGTAATTTCAGATCAAGTCGGGGGTACTATGGTTTTGAACTCTGAACATGCTTTAATGGTTTTTAACCGGGAATTTTTTAATCCAGTTTATATTTAATCCTGTTTTAATGTTTGCATATTTTACATTGTATGCTAATGAATTTATGTGAAGCTGCCTTGAGTCTCCTGCAGGAGAGATAAAGTGGGATATAAATAAATAAGTATAATAATCATAATAATAGGAATTGATGGTGCGGGTGATCTCTATCAAGTCTATGTTTTATTTTGAATTTTCCCCCTGAATAATGTAATTATTTTTAAAATAAAGAAATCTGTATGTTGCTTTTGTGTCCCAATTGATGCATCAAGACAGAGGTTCCTCCTTTACAACAGAAACGGATTTTCCAAGCCAAAACATCAAAGGATATCGAGGCTGCCTCTCTGGAAGCTCGTCTTTGAGTTCGTCCGGGGAAATACCCTGCAGGCAAAGCAAAGACAGAAACAGTATTTTTATTTATTTATTTATTTATTTGGTGCATTTGTTGACCGCCGCTCTCAGCCCTAGGGCGACTCGCGGCGGTGTACAACATATAAAAGGCAAATTACAAAAGGCAATATAAAACAGCATATCCACAATATAACACAGTATAACAATTATAAATTACAACTAAATGATCCGCTCCGTCTTATAGTAGAATCATATCCAAGCTCATAATCCAAATTCCGTTCCAATTGTCTTGCCAAAACTAATTGTAGCATTTAATTAAATGCCTGCTCGAATAGCCATGTCTTTAAGCCTTTATGAAAAGACATAAGGGAGGGCGCCTGTCTGATGTCTACAGGGAGAGTGTTCCACAGCCGGGGGGCCACCACCGAGAAGGCCCTCTCTCTCGTCCCCACCAGGCGTGCCTGTGAGGCAGGCGGGATCGAGAGAAGGGCCTCCCCGGACGATCTTAAGGCCCTCGTGGGCTCATAGGCCAAGATGCGGTCTGACAGGTATTTTGGGCCGGAACCGTTTAGGGCTTTGTAGGCTAACACCAGCACCTTGAATTGGGCCCGGTAGCAGGTCGGCAGCCAATGGAGCTGGTACAACAAGGGCGTTGTGTGCTCCCTGCGTCCCGCTCCTGTTAGTAACATGGCTGCCGCGCGCTGGACTAGCTGAAGCTTCCGGGCCGTCTTCAGGGCAGCCCCACGTAGAGAGCGTTGCAGTAGTCAAGGCGGGATGTGACCAGAGCGTGTACCACCGTGGCCAAGTCAGACCTCCCGAGGTACGGGCGCAGCTGGCGCACGAGCCTAAGCTGTGCAAATGCTCCCCTGGTCACCGCTGAAACCTGGGGATCCAGGCTCAACGATGAATCCAGGATCACACCCAAGCTGCGAACCTGCGCCTTCACAAATCGCAAATGGATTGCAAAAGGCTAAGCTTCCAAACAAAAGCAGAGCTGCGGAAATCACCCACAAACCTCGTGCTCTTCATCCAGAACCACCAGCTGCTTGTCCTTGTCGATTTTCACTGTTAACAGAACACAAGGAATTATAGGAGGTGAAATCCATGCCATGTGAAAAGTATAATCACAATCTCGTCTTCTCTCTTCCTTTCAGAGTTGCTTTCCTCTTTGGGGAATAACACTACTATAAATAATAATGATGATGATTTTTATTTCTTACCTGCCTCTCCTCGAGGTGTGGCACAACATAGTTATAAACACATCATATTTATTTATCCTATCAGAAGCAAATTGAGGGTACAGTTATAATGTATTTAAAACTAGCTGTACCCAGCCACGTGTTGCTGTGGCCCTCAGAAAACAAGAGGAATTCCATTCATGAAACAATATGAGCTAGGGAACACCTTCCCACTGGAAGGAGGAAGCCAGGCTTTTAAGCTGCAAGGTTTTTCAAAGGTAATCAAGGTGGACAATTGCAACATTCACACTTGGCTCAAGTAGAAAAGAGTTTTTTTTCCCTCACCCTGAACCTTTCACATATTTTCAAAGAGAAGCCTCTCACAGGATGGTAAAACATCTGGGCGTTCCTTTAGGGAACGTTCTTGGAGATGGCCTATTCTCTCACTCCGGAAGCGACTTGTAGTTTCTCAAGGTTTGGGAGATATGAGGTCCCCACAAACGGGACAGTACATTTTTATTTATACAGGATGTCTGCAGGTATATTTATTTATTTATTTATTTGGGGGCATTTATATCCCGTCCTATCTCATCTCCACAGAGGGACTCAGGGCAGCATTGCATTGTGACCACAATAAGAAAAGCATAAATGCACATAATATAATAAAAACAGTATAAAAATATGAAAACATTCAGAATTCAGTCATCCTAAAAGCAGTCCATCATAGTCCATTAAACCATAACTTTGCCAGTAAGTCAGTCTAATCAACAAAGGCCTGATCCCACAGCCTAGATTTTTTTTTTCATTTTTTCCAGAAGGACAGGAGAGATGGAGCAGATCTGATTTCATTTCCTGAGTCAGGAGAAACTTGAGAAACTTGAGAAACTGTAAGTCGCTTCTGGTGGGACAAATTGGCCGTCTGCAGGTACATTGAAAAAAATCTGAATCATAGAATCACTGAGTTGAAAGAGACCTCGTGGACCATCCAGTCCAACCCCATTCTGCCAAGAAGCAGGAATATTGCATTCAAAGCACCCCGACAGATGGCCATAAAGGCACTGTTTAAAAGCCTCCAAAGGAGCCTCCACCACACTCCGCAGCAGAGAGTTCCACTGGTAAACAGCTCTCAAGTTTCATTAAAAAATCCTAGAGTTGGAAGAGACGTCGTGGACCATCCATTCCAACCCCATTCGGCCAAGAAGCAGGAAAAGTGCATTCAAAGCACCCCCGACAGATAGCCATAAAGCCTCTGTTTAAAAGCCTTCAAAGAAGAAGCCTCCACCACACTCCACAGCAGGGAGTTCCACTGCTGAACAACAGCTCTCAAGTTTCCTTTAAAAAATCAGAGTTGGAAGAGACCTCGTGGACCATCCAGTCCAACCCCATTCTGCCAAGAAGCAGGAAAATCGCACTCAAAGGACCCCCGACAGATGGCCATCCAGCCTCTGTTTAAAACCCCCAAAAAAGGAGCCTCCACTATACTACGCAGCAGAGAGTTCCACTGCTAAGCAGCTCTCAAATTTCCTTTAAAAATCATAGACTTGGAAGAGACCTTGTGGACCATCCAGTCCAACCCCATTCAGCCTTGGTTTAAAAGCTTCCAAAGATGGAGCCCCCATCACACTCCGCAGCAGGTAGTTCCACTGCTGAACAGCTCTCACAGTAAGGAAGTCCCACACTCTGCAGCAGAGAGTTCCACTGCTAAACAGTTCTCAAGTTTCCTTTAAAAATCATAGTTGGAAGAAACCTCATGGACCATCCAGTCCAACCCCATTCTGCCAAGAAGCAGGAAAAGTGCATTCAAAGCACCCCCGACAGATGGCCATCCAGCCTTGGTTTAAAAGCTTCCAAAGAAGGAGCCTCCACCACACTCCGCAGCAGAGAGTTCCACTGCTAAACAGCTCTCACTGTTAGGAAGCCCTACACTTTTTCCAGAGATTGCAATCAGTCTCTGCCATTCCTCAGAAACAATGTGTTCCCAGTGTGTGCCACCCCTCCCTAAATCCTGCAACTTCTTACTGATAATGGCCGCATTGTTGGTTTCTTTGCGGAAGCGGAATTTCCTCAGCTTCTCCACGAGGTCTTCGGCCACATCGCACACCACAAGGGATTCGCTCTGAAAAGAAGGACAAGAGAGAGAGAGAACAAGAAGAGCAATATTATAATTATTTTCATTTGGATAGCCATCTGTCGGGAGGGTTTGCATTGGCAGAATGGGGTTGGACTGGATGACCCTTGGGATTCCCTTCCAACTCTATGCTTCTAAGCTTTCCTTTCCCTTTGTATGGGAGTCGCTTCCCCAATCTTTCACTTGGACTGAAGACAACATCATATATGTGAAGTTTTTGCTCCATTAAGATTCTCATACTATTAAATGAAGATCATGTGCGGCTTCTGCTTCAAGGATGCAACCATACTGCTATGGATCAATGCTACGGAATCCTGGGATTTGCAGTCTGGCAAGCAAACTACAACTCCAAGGATTGCACTGCAATATGGCACTTAAAGTGAGATTAAAAGTGCATTAAATCGACACTAAACAAACATGCCTAAGCTTGCATTGATGCTTCTGCAAGACACTAAATTACTTTAGAGATTCTCTTAAGAAAGAAACCAGGAAAAGAACTGATAATAATAATTATTATTTATTTACGGCATTTGTAGCCCGCCTTTCTCAGCCTTACGGTGACTAAATTAGTTTTTCTTTATATATAATTATATAACTCGACTGATGAGGTTGTTTTATGGTTTAATAACTGTTTTGATATTTGATGATGTAGTGTTTTTAATATGATTTATGTTTAAAGTATAGTTTTAATATTGTACTTGTAAGGCATTGAATTCTTGCCATTATCTATGTGTAAACCGCTTCAAGTCCCCCTCAGGGTGAGAAAAGCGGTATATAAATGCTGTAAATAAATAATAATAAATAAATTCATAATTTATAATTAGGTTTTTTTATTTTGTACTATTTGTACTATTTTGTTGCTGTGGCCCAGTCTGTGTATATGTATTATGTGTGTGTATATGTGTGTTTATACATGTGTATATGTGTGGTTGCAAATATATATATATATATATATATATATATATATATATACACACACACACACATTCTAGCTGTCCCCTGCCATGTGTTGCTGTGGCCCAGTCTGTGTATATGTATTATGTGTGTGTATATGTGTGTTTATATTTGTGTATATGTGTGGGTGCATGCATATATATATATATATATATATATATATATATATATATATTCTAGCCGTCCCCTGCCATGCGTTGCCGTGGCCCAGTCTGTGTATATGTATTATGTGTGTGTATATGCATGTGTATATGTGTGGTTGCATGCATGCATGCATACACACACACACACACACACACACACACACACACACACACATATATATATATATTCTAGCTGTCCCCTGCCATGTGTTGCTGTGGCCCAGTCTGCATATATGTATTATGTGTGTGTATATGTGTGTTTATACATGTGTATATGTGTGGTTGCATGCATGCATATATATATATATATATATATATATATATATATATATATATATATTCTATCTGTCCCCTGCCATGTGTTGCTGTGGCCCAGTCTGTATATATGTATTATGTGTGTTTATATTTGTGTATATGCATGGTTGCATGCATATATTCTAGCCGTCCCCTGTCATGCGTTGCTGTGGCCCAGTCTGTTTATATGTATTTTGTGTGTGTATATGTGTGTTTATATAAGAATGGAGATAGATAGATAAACTAGCTTTCCCCTGCCCAGTCTGTGTATATGTGTTTTGTTTATGTATATGTGTCTATTTGTGTATATGTCTGTTTGTGTATATATGTGTAGTTTTGTGCACATGTTGTAATGGGGTTTTTTTTGTTTTTTGGCTTTTTAAGTCTCTTCCACTGTGTTTTTCAGCGTTTTTATGAGTGATGGTCACTCACTGGCCTGACAGGTGTACTGTGTCCAAATTTGGTGTCAATTCGTCCAGTGGTTTTTGAGTTATGTTAATCCCACAAACAAACATTACATTTTTATTTATATACATGACTAGCTGTTCCCTGCCACGCGTTGCTGTGGCCCACATGGAGGTTCTGTGTGGGGGGTTTGGCCCAATTCTATCGTTGGTGGGGTTCAGAATGATCTTTGGTTGTAGGTGAACTATAAATCCCAGCAACTACAACTCCCAAATGTCAAGATTCTATTTTCCCCAAACTCCACCAGTGTTCACATTTGGGCATATTGAGTATTTGCGTGGAGTTTGGTCCAGATCCATCTTTGTTTGAGTCCACAGTGATCTCTGGATGTAGGTGAACTACAACTCCAAAACCAAAGGACACTGCCCACCAAACCCTTCCGTATTTTCTGTTGGTCATGGGAGTGTGTGCCAAGTTTGGTTCAATTCTATCATTGGTGGGGTTCAGAATGCTCTTTGATTGTAGGTGAACTACAAATCCCAGCAACTACAACTCCCAAATGACAAAATCAATTTTTGGGGGTGAAGGACATACATTGGGTTGTTAGGTGTCTTGTGTCCAAATTTGGTGTCAATTCGCCCAGTGGTTTTTGAGTTATGTTAATCCCACAAACAAACATTACAATTTTATTTATATAGATTATGTATGGTCCCCGTGACGCAATGGGTTAAAGCATTGAATTGCTGAACTTGCTAAGTCTCTTCTGCTTTGTTTTTCAGTGTTTTTATGAGTGATGGACATACTTGGGTTGTTAGTGTCTTGTGTCCAAATTTGGTGTCAATTCATCCTGTGGTTTTTGAGTTCTGTTAATCCCACAAACAGACATTACATTTTTATAGATGTAATTAGATAGATGATAGATGATTTTAGTTTTTTTCCAAAGGAGAAAGACGCAAGATGAATTATTTTATGTATATGCATTTTACTGAAACACTTTGCTACCAACATCTGTCTCTCAAGGTTCGTCTACACTGTAGAATTAATGCAGTTTGATTCCACTTAAAAGTTCCATTGCTCAGTAATATAGAATCCTGGGACTTGTAGTTTGGCAAAGCACCAGCTTGTCAGAGAAGGGCTTGTAGAACTACAGCTCCCAGAATCCCAGCTATAGTAGTTCAAGTGGTGTCAAACTGCATCAGTTCTACAGTGTAGATCGGCCTGATTCCAATCTCCCCTTCTTGGGCAAAGTCATGGAACGTGTGGTGGCCTCACAACTCCAGGCATTCTTGGTAGACACGGATTATCTGGATCCGGCACAGTCTGGCTTTAGGCCGGGGCATGGTACCGAGACAGCTTTGGTCGCCTTAGTGGATGATCTGCGTCGAGAGCTCGACAGGGGGAGTGTGTCCCTGTTGGTGCTGCTCGACCTCTCAGCGGCCTTCGATACCGTCGACCACGGTATCCTTCTGGGACGCCTCGCGGGAATGGGTCTCGGAGGTACTGTTTGCAGTGGCTCCGGTCATTCCTCGAGGGTCGGTCTCAGAAGGTGTTACTGGGGGACTCCTGTTCTACCCCACAACCTTTGTTGTGGGGTTCCTCAGGGTTCAATACTGTCTCCCATGTTGTTTAACATCTACATGAAGCCGCTGGGCGAGATCATCCGGAGTTTCGGAGTGCGATGTCATCTGTACGCAGATGATGTCCAACTCTGTCACTCCTTTCCACCTGCTACTAAGGAGGCTGTCGAGGTCCTGAACCGGTGCTGGGCCGCTGTGACGGTCTGGATGGGGGCGAACAAATTGAAATTGAATCCAGACAAGACAGAGGTACTCCTGGTCAGTCGCAAGGCCGAACAGGGTATAGGGTTACAGCCTGTGTTGGATGGGGTCGCACTCCCCCTGAAGACACAGGTTCGCAGTTTGGGTGTGATCTTGGATTCATCGCTGAGCCTGGATCCCCAGGTTTCGGCGGTGACCAGGGGAGCATTTGCACAGTTAAAACTCGTGCGCCAACTGCGACCGTACCTTGGGAAGTCTGACTTGGCCACGGTAGTCCACGCTCTGGTTACATCCCGTCTTGATTACTGCAACGCTCTCTACGTGGGGTTGCCTTTGAAGACGGCTCGGAAGCTCCAATTAGTCCAACGGGCGGCGGCCATGGTATTAACAGCGGGGCGCAGGGAGCATACGACTCCTCTGCTGTACCAGCTCCATTGGCTGCCGATTTGCTACCGGACCCAATTCAAAGTGCTGGCGTTGGCCTTTAAAGCCCTAAACGGTTCTGGCCCAACATATCTATCCGAACGTATCTCAGCCTATCAGCCACCAGGACCCTAAGATCTTCTGGAGAGTCCCTGCTCTCTGTCCCTCCGGCTTCAGAAGTGCGGCTGGCGGGAACGAGAGACAGGGCCTTCTCTGTGGTGGCCCCTCGGCTTTGGAATGCCCTCCCTATAGAGATAAGATCAGCTCCCTCGCTGTTGGTATTTCGAAAAAAACTTAAGACATGGTTGTTTGAACAAGCATTCGGGTAATCCGGTGCGATGAAGTTGATGACAAGGACTGGTAATTATTGACGATGAATTGGATTATGATTTTAACTAAGAGATGCATCGGTCTGTATTGGTGGCCCGATACTGTGTACTGTATATTTATTTTATGTTTTTAAATTGAATACTGTTGTTTTAAGTGTTGTAAACCGCAATGAGTTGCCGTTTTAGGCTGAGATATTAGCGGTATACAAGCGTATTAATAAATAAATAATAAATAAATAGATGAACCTGCAAAGGTGCACTGATATCCCTCTGCAAACTGGTCCGGATTACGACCGACACGCTCATACAACTACTGTGCAAATATATATCTTGGCAGTTCTAATTACGAAAGCAGGCCACGAAGAGGTGGCGTTGGATGAGTCACAAAGGCTGTTTCCTGGGTAGAGGTTGCCTTCGAGGCATTTTTTGCAGCGATGCATTGCATTTCTCACCTAGAAGGATGTACGGGAGGTTTTGCGCCCGGAAGGAAGATTGCAAATATGTGTCACGTGGAAAATAGAGGAATTCTCCCTATCTGTGCAAAGATGAGGATTTCATTCTGAATTCCCATTTGCAAAACCAAATAAGGGGGGAAATTACTGACTTATTTTCATTCCCAGTTAGCTATCAGATTAATGCAGTTTGATGTCTCAATGTTATGGAATCATAGCAATTATAGTTTGTTGAAGTACCAGCCCTCTTTGGCAGAGAAAGACCTTGTAAAACTACAGCTCCCAGGAGCCCATAACATTGAGACATGGAAGCTAAAGTGGTGTCAAACTGCATTAATTCTGCAGGCAGGGACCCATAATATTTATATTGAAACTGTAAGCATCCTGGGACAGGGATAATAATTATTGTGATTATTATTATTATTATTATTATTATTCTGCAGGGATCCATAACATTTATATTGGCATTGTAAGCTTCCTGCTTCAGGGATAATAATAATTGTGATTATATTATTATTTAAATTAGAATAGTAAGCTTTTTGGGACGGGAATAATAATAGTGATAATAGTGATTATTATTATTATTATTATTATTATTATTATTATTATTATTCTGCAGGGACCCGTAATATTTATATTAGAATTGTAATCTTCTTGGGACGGGAATAATAATAATAGTGATAATTATTATTATTATTATTCTGCAGGGACCCATAATATTTATATTAGAATTGTAAGCTTCTTGGGACAGGAATAATAATAATAATTGTGATAATTGTGATAATAGTGATTATTATTATTATTATTATTATTATTATTATTATTCTGCAGGGACCCATAATATTTATATTAGAATTGTAAGTTTCTTGGGACAAGAATAATAATAATTGTGATAATAGTGATTATTATTATTATTATTATTATTATTATTATTCTGCAGGGACCCATAAAGTATTAGAATTGTAGGTTTCTTGGGACGAGAATAATAATAATTGTGATAATTGAGATTCTTCTTCTTCTTCAAGAAACCCATAATATTTATATTGGAATTGTAAGCTTCTTGAGATGAGAATAATAATAATTGTGATAATTGTGATTATTATTATTCTTCAGGAACCCATAATATTTATATTAGAATTGTAAGTTTCTTGGGACAGGAATAATAATAATAGTGATAATTGTGATTATTATTATTATTATTCTGCAGGAACTCATAGTATTCGTATTAGCATTTTAAGCTTCCTGCTTCAGGGTTAATAATAATTGTGATTATAGTGATTATTATTATTATTATTATTATTATTATTATTATTATTCTGCAGGGACCCATATTATTTATATTAGAATTGTAAGTTTCTTGGGACGAGAATAATAATAATTGTGATTATCATTATCATTATTATTATTATTATTCTGCAGGGACTCATAATATTTATATTAGAATTGTAAGTTTCTTGGGACGAGAATAATAATAATTGTGATTATCATTATTATTATTATTATTATTATTATTATTATTATTATTATTCAGGAACCCATAATATTTATATTGTAAGTTTCTTGGGACAGAGATAATAACATAATAATAATTTTAATAATTGTATTCATTGTTATTATTATTCTACACAACGGCATGTCTCCCATATGTGACCCAAAGTGTCTAACAATATATTATTATAATTATTATTATAACTCGTTATTTCTCTCTACAAACGAGACATCAAAGTAGCTTACAATACAATCAAGTCAATACAATTTAAATCCCCCCAAAATATTCACAATTATCACAGTTATTATTGTTCCCTTCCCAATATGCTTACAATTCTAATATAATTCAGAATAATATATAATTATTATTCTGCAAGAACTATATTATGGGTTCCTGCAGAATAATAATAAACAAACATTAAAACAGAATTAAATATTAATGTTTGTAGCACTGACCCATGGCAGTTCAAGTGGCATTTATGTATTTGTTTGTCCTATATATGAAAGATCTACTCACATTCGCATGTTTTCGAACTGCTAGGTTGGCAGAAGCTGTGGTTAACAGCAGGAGCTCACCCCGCTCCCCGGATTTGAACCGCCAAGGGTTAATCCATATTTAATAATTTGGTTATTTATTTGTTTATCCTATATGTGGAAGAAATATGGTATAAGCATTGAATAAACTACTACAACTACCTACAATGCAGACTTTTTCCTTTCCTGTTGCTTTCTACTTTCCCCGACCATTTTTATCTCCCTTAATATATAGGACCTGTATGGGAAAACATCTGGATAGCCATTAGTTGCATTGCATCAACCTACAATGTGGTGCAGGACTTGGATAAAGTAAATTCAAAACCAATCAGGAAGACACAATCCGATCCCTCTAGACAGATGGTCATCCAGCTTCCGCTTAAAAGCCTCCAGAGAAGGCGACTCCCAAGCAGCATATTCCCATTCTGCCAAGAAGCAGGAATATTGCATTCAAATCACCCCCCGACAGATGGCCATCCAGCCTCTGTTTAAAAGCCTCCAAAGAAGGAGCCTCCACCACCCTCCACAGCAGAGAGTTCCACTGCTGAACGTCTCTCACAGTCAGGAAGTTCATCCTAATGCTTAGGTTGGATCTCTTTTCCTGCAATTTGCATCAATTGACCCTTCCTCAATGTGACATCCTTACAAATATTTAAACATGTCCATCCTGTTTGTTTTCAGTAATTAAAACAAAACACCTGGCACGTTTGAATACCGCAGGTATGCTCCCATCTTCCTCCATAGGTGCATCTACACTGTAGAAATAATGCAGTTTTGACACCACTTTAACTGCCATGGCTCAATGCTATGGAATCGAGGGGTCTGCTGCACCAGCAATATTTGGAAGAGAAGGCTCAAAATTATGGAATCATATTTATATATTTACTAATTATATTTATATCCCATCTTTCTCAACCCCAAGGGGGACTCAAGGCGGCATACAACAATTCAATGCCTTAACAACACTGTACAATTAAAATAAACATTTAAATTAAACTAAGATAAAACTTTAAATACGTTAAACCATTTTTGAAACATTACAGTCACTATAAAACCACACTATCTGCAATCATAATCCAGGTCATTCCAGGAGTCGTTGCACACACACACACACACACACACATCACTTATAATATTATAATGCAATACAATATAATACTAGTAATAATAATACAATATTGTTGTTGTTCATTCGTTCAGTCGTCTCCGACTCTTCGTGACCTCATGGACCAGCCCACGCCAGAGCTCCCTGTCGGCCGTTACCACCCCCAGCTCCCTCAAGGTCAGTCCAGTCACTTCAAGGATGCCATCCATCCATCTTGCCCTTGGTCGGCCCCTCTTCCTTTTGCCTTCCACTTTCCCCAGCATAATTGTCTTCTCTAGGCTTTCCTGTCTCCTCATGATGTGGCCAAAGTACTTCAACTTTGTCTCTAGTATCTTTCCCTCCAATTATAATTATATATTTATTTTACATGTTATATCACTAATAATATTACAAAATAATGGTACAGTGCAATATAGTAATATATAATACTGATATTGTACTATGCTAATAATATAATATATATATATTGTGTGTGTGTATATATATATATATATATATCTTGTAAGTCATTCTGAGTCTCCTTCTGGGTGAGAAGGGCGGCTTAAAAATGTCGTAAATAAAATAAAATAAAATAAATGTATATATGTAGTTCTGTATGCTTTTATGGTTGCGTTTTAACTAGTTTTTAACATCTGATTTCATAAGTGTATTTTATATTATATTTTGTATTATATTATATTTTGTATTATAGGTGTATGTTGTGCCTTGAGCCAAAAGAGTGATGGGTAATACATTATTATTATTATTATTATTATTATTATTCCTACTAACTCATTCTAGAACTCATGAATTTGAATTTCACAATCTATGTCGATTTAGTCTTTGTCCCATGTATTTTAATATGTGCATATTACACAAATATGTTTTAATATGTGCTGTTTATTGAATTTATTTTATTGTGATGATGCATTTAATCGTGTTGCAGATAATAAATTATTATTATTATTATTATTATTATTATTATTATTATTATTTAAACTTCTCTTCCAATGACTGCTGGTGCGTCACCAAGCCAGGATTTTGTAAAATAAATAAGTTTGAAATAAATATTTTGTAACAATTTTTATAAATAAGTTATTAAAATAAAATAAAAATAATTTAAAATAATTTAATGATAAATAATAATAATTTTAAAATAAATAAAGTAAAATTTTAAAATAAATTTTAATTCCATGGGCAATTAAAGTGCATTACTTCTACAGTGCAGATGCACCATACTGGCAGGAAATATATATATATATATATATATATATATATATATAATGAATGCATATTTGAGCCCTTAGATCAGAGCAAAGAGAAAGAGCGGAAGAAATTGCAAAAAAACAAAAACAAAAAAAAACCACTCAATTTTAATTTTGCAAGTAATAATAATAATAATAATAATAATAATAAATGTTATGAATAATAATAGTATTTTTAGTCCTGGATTATTTCTCCAAAGGATGTTTTGCATATTTGAGCCCTTAGATCAAAGCAAAGAAAAAGAGAGGAATTGCAAAAAAAATCCCACCCAATTTTAATTTTGCAACTAGTAATAATAATAATAACAACAACAATAATAAATGTTATGAATAATAATAGTATTTTTAGTCCTGGATTATTTCTCCAAAGGATGTTTTGCATATCTGGAGGAATTAAAATGCTTGCAAACCAGTAAAAATGGAAATGCAACATTTTCACTGCTTTTTCTGATCATATTTAAAAGCAGGATTATTTTCCCCCCAAAATATATGGGAACCAAAGGGAGAATCCCAATCCACCCTCTTTCACTGTTGCACTACATTACCATGGCATTGCTATAAGCATTCCAATGCATTAATTTCTAGAAAAAGCAATAAATAAGAAAATCCATCTCCATCCCTGCAAAAAAAAAACCAAAACAAAAAAGGACTGAGACTCACCATTTTGCACCAGCAGCTACAACCAGCTCCTTTCCCTCTAAAAATTACGACGCGGTCCCTTTAAGAGCTCGAGCGGCCCCGCCCCAATCTTGTGCGGGTTTCCGCTCACTGCGCATGCCCCGTGATCGCAGAGCGGCTCAGCCAATCAGAGGCGTTGCTGGGTCAGGCCGCTCCAAAATTCCTCGCGCTCTCTCATGTGATGATGGTCATCTCAGCCCCGCCCGAGCATTCGTTCGTCAGCCCGCCCACGCCTAGAGCGTCGCGTAAACCGGAAAAAATGTGTGGTGCCTCGCTGGCATGCACTCTCTGGTTTAATTAGGGGCGGGGCGAAGAAGAGTGCGCCTTCCTTGGCCCCTCCCCCCGTTGCTATGGCAACGGGAGGAAGGACTTCCTTTCCTTTTCTGTAATATATATTTTTTCAAATAATAATTAAATAAATAATATAAAAATAATATAAAATGAAATAAAATGTAACAAATTAAATAAGTTTGAAATAAATATTTTTTTAATAATTTTTATAAATAAATTATTAAAATAAAATAAAAATAATTTAATGAAATTAATTAATAATTAATAATTAATATATTATAATTATATAATTATATAATTATAATTAATTATATATTCTAGATAATTCTAATAATTATAATTAATAATTATGATTATAATAATTATTACTAAGTATAATTATTAATAATAATTAATTCTAGATAGAATTATTAATAGAATAATAATTCTAAAATAAATAAAATAATTTTGAAATAAAGGAAATAAAAATAATTTGGAGATAAATAAATAGAAGGCAAATGAAATAAAATGATTTAAAGATAAAATAAATTTTAAAATGATTTTAAAATAAATAAAATAATTTGGAAATAAAGAAAATAAAAATAATTTGGAGATAAATAAATAGAAGGCAAATGAAATAAAATGATTTAAAGATAAAATAAATTTTAAATAATTTTAAACTAAACAAAATAAAATAATTTAAAAATAATGATATTTTAAATAAACAAAATAAAACAAATAGGTTCTTGTGGGGTTTTCCGGGCTATATGGCCATGTTCTGGAGGCAATTTTTCTCCTGACGTTTCGCCCGCATCTATGGCAAGCATCCTCAGAGGTAGTGAGGTCTGTTGGAACTAGGAAAATTGGTTTATATATCTGTGGAATGACCACGATGGGACAAAGGACTCTTCTCTGCTGGAGCTAGGTGTGAATGTTTCAACTGACCACCTTCATTAGCATTTGAAGGCCTGACAGTGCCTAGAGCAAACTTTTGTTGAGAGGTGATTAGAAGTCCTTGTTTGTTTCCTCTCTGTTGTTGTGCTGTTGTAATTTTAGAGTTTTTTAATACTGGTAGCCAGATTTTCTTCATTTTCATGGTCTCTTCCTTTCTGTTGAAATTGTCCACATGATTGTGGATTTCAATGGCTTCTCAGTGGTTGTTAGAGTGGTCCAGCATTTCTGTGATTTCAAATAATATGCTGAGTCCAGGCTGGTTCATCAGGTGCTCTGCTATGGCTGACTTCTCTGGTTGAAGTAGTCTGCAGTGCCTTTCATGTTCCTTGATTCGTGTTTGGGTGATGCTGCTGCATTTGGTGGTCCCGCTGTAGACTTCTTGTCCACAGCTGCATGGTATATGGTTTTCAACAGAAATGAGGAAACCATGAAAATGAACAAAATCTGGCTACCAGTATTAAAAAGCTCTAAAATTAGAACAGCACAACAACAGAGAGGAAACAAACAAGGACATCTAATCACCTCTCAACAAAAGATTGTTCCAGCACTGCCAGGCAATCAAATGCTAATCAAGGTGGTCAGTTGAAACATTCACACCTAGCTCCAACAGACAAGAGTCCTTTGTCTCACCTGGTCATTCCACAGATATATAAACCCTTTTTCCTAGTTCCAACAGACCTCACTACCTCTGAGGATGCTTGCCATAGATGCAGGCGAAACGTCAGGAGAGAATGCCTCTAGAACATGGCCATATAGCCGGAAAAAACCTACAACAACCCAATAATTTTCATTATTATTATTAAATAATAATAATAATAAAATTATTTAAATAATAATAATAATTATTATTATTATTATTATTATTATTATTATTATTATTTTCAGATTAAGTACTGTACAATAAAACAGGAAACAACACTTTCAAGCCAGGAACATATTTTAAAAAATTTCTTACATAGCGTTATCTATTTTGCATTAAAGACCGCTGAGCAATTATAAAAGTATTCTTGAGATAAGAAATAAATGCCCAAAATAACTTACACACATTTCCAAACCATCCTTCACGTTTCCAAGACTTTTTGTCATTTCTAATGAGCTTTGTCTGCTCATAGTCATATCTAAAAGGTATTATAGCATCCCCAAATAACCTAAAAGTCCTAAACTGAGACATTTTAGCTCAGAACAAGATTTTCAGTCTGGATTCTTGAAGAGGAATATACCTAGAAATGCTATTTATTCTGAGAGAAGACAAATGAGAGATGAAGTATTGCAGCAAAGTGTTTGTGCACCAGATTTGAGTTGGATAGAAAGCAATTACAAGTCGTCACGGATTATATCTTTTCGACAATCAGATTTAAGATGAGCGGGATCCAATTTAGAAGGTAAAAACCGCTCCTTCAGATTAAATCTTGTGGATTTCAGTGGCTTCTCTGTGTAGTCTGACATGGTGGTTGTGAGAGTGGTCCAGCATTTCTGTGTTCTCAAATAATATGCTGTGTCCAGGCTGGTTCATCAGGTGCTCTGCTCTGGCTGACTTCTCTGGTTGAAGGAGTCTGCAGTGCCTTTCATGTTCCTTGATGCGTGTCTGGGCAATGCTGCTGCGTTTGGTGGTCCCTCTGTAGACTTGTCCACAGCTGCATGGTACACGGTAGACTCCTGCAGAGGTGAGAGGATCCCTCTTGTCCTTTGCTGAACGTAGCATTTGTTGGATTTTCTTGGTGGGTCTGTAGATAGTTTGTATGTTGTGTTTCCTCATCAGCTTCCCTCTGCGGTCAGTGGTTCCCTTGATGTATGGCAAGAACACTTTTCCTCTGGGTGGATCTTCATCTTGACTCTCGTGGCTTGTTCTTGGTCTTGCAGCTCTTCTGATGTCTGAGGTGGAGTCTCCATTGGCCTGGAGAGCCCAGGTGAGGTGGAGACAATACAAAATAAAACAATTTTGAACTGAATAAAATGATTTAAAGATAAATTAATTTAAAGATAAATAAAATAAAAATAATTTAAAGATAAATAACGTTAATTTTAAAACAAATAAAATAATTTTGAAATAAAATCAAAGAAGTTTAAAATAAAGTAACAAATAATTTAAAAATAAATAAAATCAAATGATTTAAAGATAAATTATAATTTAAAAATAAATAAGTTTGAAATAAATAAAATAATGTTAAAATAATAATATTTTTAAATAAACAAAACAAAATAATTTTGAAATAAAATAAAATAATTTAAAGATAAATGAAATAGAAATAATTTAAAGATAAATAATGTTAATTTTAAAATAAATCAAATAATTTTGGATTAAAATCAAATAATTTTAAAATAAAGTAAAATAATTTAAAGATAAATAAAATCAAATGATTTAAAGATAAATGGCAATTTTAAAATAAGTTTGAAATAAATAAAATAAAATAATTCTAAAATAAATAATAAAGAAAAATAATTTTAAAATAAATAAGTTTGAAATCAATAAAATAATTCTAAAATAAATAATAAAGAAAAATGATAATTTAAAAATAAAGAAAATGTATAAAATAAGTTAAAAATAATCTTTAAATATATTAAAAGTTTTAAAACATTTGAAAGTAAAATAAAAAACAAGAATGAAATGGGAGGCGGATAGTAAATAAATAAATATGATTAATTATGATATTATATTAGGATTCCTTGTCAAACTACAGGTTCCAGTATTCTATAAAATTGAGCCAATTAAAGTGGCATCAAACTGCATTTCTGAGCATGCGCAAATAAGTGGCTGAGAGAAGTACAGCGGCTTCCTTTGGCTATTTCTGAGCATGCGCACATAAGAGTAGTCTTATGAAGAACAGAGCGGATTCCCTCACTCTTCAGAGCATGCGTATAGACAATGGCTTCCCACTCTTCTGAGCATGCGCACAGAAAGAGTACTCGGGAATACAGCGGCTTGCTCTGACTCTTTCTGAGCATGCGCACACAAGAGTAGTCTTGTCAACAGAGCGGATTCCCTCACTCTTCTGAGCATGCGCATACAGAGTGAAGAGCAACTTCTGAGCATGCGCACACAAGACTAGCCAGGAGTAGAGCGGCTTCCTCTGACTCTTTCTGAGCATGCGCACACAAGAATAGTCTTGTCAAGAACAGAGCGTATTCACTCACTCTTCTGAGCATGCGCATACACAGTGGCTTCCCTCAGTCTTTCTGAGCATGCGCACACAAGAGTGAGCTTATCAAGAGCAATGAAGACCAACTGTGCATGCGCACACAAGACTAGCCAGGAGTACAGCGGTTTCCTCTGACTCTTTCTAAGCATGCGCACACAAGAGTAGTCTTGTCAACAGAGCGGATTCTCTCACTCTTCTGAGCATGCGCATACATAGTGGCTTCCCTCACTCTTTCTGAGCATGCGCACACAAGAGTAGTCTTTCTGAGCATGCGCATACACAGTGGCTTTCCTCAGTCTTTCTGAGCATGCGCACACAAGAGTGAGCTTATCAAGAGCAGTGAAGACCAACTGTGCATGCGCACACAAGACTAGCCAGGAGTACAGCGGTTTCCTCTGACTCTTTCTAAGCATGCGCACACAAGAGTAGTCTTGTCAACAGAGCGGATTCTCTCACTCTTCTGAGCATGCGCATACATAGTGGCTTCCCTCACTCTTTCTGAGCATGCGCACACAAGAGTAGTCTTTCTGAGCATGCGCATACACAGTGGCTTTCCTCAGTCTTTCTGAGCATGCGCACACAAGAGTAGTCTTTTCAACAGAGCGGATTGCCTCACTCTTTCTGAGCATGCGCATACACAGTGGCTTCCCTCACTCTTTCTGAGCATGCGCACACAAGAGTAGTCTTTTCAACAGAGCGGATTGCCTCACTCTTTCTGAGCATGCGCATACACAGTGGCTTTCCTCAGTCTTTCTGAGCATGCGCACACAAGAGTGAGCTTATCAAGAGCAGAGTGAAGAGCAACTTCTGAGCATGCGCACACAAGACTAGCCAGGAGTATAGCGGCTTCCTCTGACTCTTTCTGAGCATGCGCACACAAGAGTAGTCTTTTCAACAGAGCGGATTGCCTCACTCTTCTGAGCATGCGCATAGGCAGTGGCTTTCCCTGACTCTTTCTGAGCATGCGTACACAAGCGTAGCCTTGTCAAGAGCGGAATACAGCGGCTTCCCTCACTCTTCTGAGCATGCGCATAGGCAGTGGCTTTCCCTGACTCTTTCTGAGCATGCGTACACAAGCGTAGCCTTGTCAGGAGCGGAGTACAGCGGCTTCCCTCACTCTTCTGAGCATGCGCATAGGCAGTGGCTTTCCCTGACTCTTTCTGAGCATGCGTACACAAGCGTAGCCTTGTCAGGAGCGGAGTACAGCGGCTTCCCTCACTCTTCTGAGCATGCGCATAGGCAGTGGCTTTCCCTGACTCTTTCTGAGCATGCGTACACAAGCGTAGCCTTGTCAGGAGCGGAGTACAGCGGCTTCCCTCACTCTTCTGAGCATGCGCATAGGCAGTGGCTTTCCCTGACTCTTTCTGAGCATGCGTACACAAGCGTAGCCTTGTCAGGAGCGGAGTACAGCGGCTTCCCTCACTCTTCTGAGCATGCGCATAGGCAGTGGCTTTCCCTGACTCTTTCTGAGCATGCGTACACAAGCGTAGCATATGATTGGACTTCCCTCGAGGAAGACCAAAGCAAGGAATGGCAGCGCTTTCTGCGCATGCGCGCGCACTCCATTCGGCGGTTGTCAACAAAGAGAGGGGAAGGGAGCCGCGTTGGGAGCACTGCCCGTCCGCACTTCCTCCCCGATGGCCGCCGCCTTCCTGGTGGCCCTGTACGAATACTCGCCGCTCTTCTACATCTCCGTGGTCTTCCTCTGCTTCCTGGTCACCAGCGGGATGGTCCTGGGATGGTCAGTCGGGAAAGCGGTTTCGAACCGGGTTAAATCCAGTGTAGACGCGCTTTTAAGTTGTGTGCTGGGTTGTTTCCTGTTTAATTGTGCGACACTGACTTTGAAAGTGGTTGTTCCCCTCCAGAAACTTGGTTTTTGTGGCAGAAACTATGTTGGATGGGTTTGGACTCAAGGTGTGATGAAGTATTCATTAGCAAGCACAGAATACAGAATAGGATGTGCTATTGACCCAACGTTATTTTCCATCTTCTATGAGACCAGGGTTGAATGAAAAGTAATGCCTCCACTTTTGTTACTTGGGTTTGCATGGGAATATTTTAATAAATCAAACGCAGAAATAATCGGGGCTGTTGTAGGGTTTTTCGGGCTATATGGCCATGGTCTGGAGGCATTCTCTCCTGACGTTTTGCCTGCATCTATGGCAAGCATCCTCAGAGGTAGTGAGGTCTGTTGGAAGTAGGAAAATGGGTTTGTATATCTGTGGAAAGACCAGGGTGGGACAAAGGACTCTTGTCTGCTGGAGCTAGGTGTGAATGTTTCAACTGACCACCTTGATTAGCATATAATGGCCTGACAGTGCCTAGAGCAAACTTTTGTTGAGAGGTGATTAGATGTCCTTGTTTGTTTCCTCTCTGTTGTTGTGCTGTTGTAATTTTAGAGTTTTTTTTAATACTGGTCGCCAGATTTTGTTCATTTTCATGGTTTCCTCCTTTCCAGAAAGGCAATGTCCAGATCCTCTCACTTCTGCAGGAGTCTACCGTGTACCATGCAACTGTGGACAAGTCTACAGAGGGACCTCCAAATGCAGCAGCATTGCCCAAACACGAATCAAGGAACATGAAAGGCACTGCAGACGACTTCAACCAGAGAAGTCAGCCATAGCAGAGCACCTGATTACAACAGCACAACAGAGAGGAAACAAACAAGGACATCTAATCACCTCTCAACAAAAGTTTGCTCTAGGCACTGTCAGGCCATTATATGCTAATCAAGGTGGTCAGTTGAAACATTCACACCTAGCTCCAGCAGACAAGAGTCCTTTGTCTCACCCTGGTCATTCCACAGATATATAAACCCTTTTTCCTAGTTCCAACAGACCTCACTACCTCTGAGGATGCTTGCCATAGAAACAGGCGAAACGTCAGGAGAGAATGCCTCCAGAACATGGCCATATAGCCCCGAAAAACCTACAACAACCCAGTGATTCCGGCCATGAAAGCCTTCAACAGTACGCAGAAATAATCCTTAGAATGTGCTCTTTAGCTACCACTATCTGCTGCAGATCACAGGAGCTGTCTTCATAGACCTGTCAGCAGCCTATGATACTGTGAATCACCGCCTTCTCCTGAGAAAAATGTATAATATCACAAAGGACAACCACATCACCTGCCTCATAGGAAACCTGCTACAAAACAGGAGCTTTTTTGTTGAGTTCCAGGGCCAGAGAAGCAGATGGCGGAAACAGAAGAACGGCCTGCCTCAGGGGAGCGTGCTTGCCCCATCCATGTTCAACATCTACACAAATGACCAGCCACTGCCAGAAGGGACAGAGAGCTTCATCTATGCTGATGATCGTGCCATTACTGCTCAAGCAGGGAGCTTTGAGATGGTTGAACAGAAGCTCTCCGAAGCTCTAGGTGCTCTTACTGCCTATTACAGGGAAAACCAGCTGATCCCTAACCCATCCAAAACACAGACATGTGCCTTTCACCTTAAGAACAGACAAGCATCCCGAGCTCTGAGGATTATTACCTGGGAAGGAATCCCACTGGAGCATTGCAGCGCACCCAAATACCTGGGAGTCACTCTGGACCGTGCTCTGACCTACAAGAAGCACTGCCTGAATATCAAGCAAAAAGTGGGTGCTAGAAACAATATCATATGAAAGCTGACTGGCACAACCTGGGGATCACAACCAGATACAGTGAAGACATCTGCCCTTGCGCTTTGCTACTCTGCTGCTGAGTATGCATGCCCAGTGTGGAACACATCTCACCATGCTAAAACAGTGGATGTGGCTCTTAATGAGACATGCCGCATTATCACGGGGTGTCTGCGCCCTACACCACTGGAGAAATTACACTGTTTAGCTGGTATTGCCCCACCTGACATCCGCCGGGAAGTAGCAGCCAATAGTGAAAGGACCAAGGCAGAGACATCTCCAGTTCACCCCCTGTTTGGGTATCAGCCAGCACGCCAATGACTTAAATCAAGAAATAGTTTTCTAAGACCTACAGAGACACTCAGCAAGCGAGAGTCCAAAAGTGGCAGGCCAAAACCCAGAACCTCAATCCATGGCTGGTGCCAAATGAGATACTCCCTCCTGGGCACACAGCAGATTGGGCAACTATACTCCCAACTCAAGAACGGAAATGGAATGTGGAGGTCAGCTGTGACCAAGAGTGTTGTGGAATTTGAAGAGGCACAAATGGAAGGCAGAAGGGAGAAACATGTCAATCAGACTCAGCCATGAGTGAGCGCCAATAATGATGATGATTCATTGACAAAGTAGAACAAAAATGTGCTGCACAATGTCCCTTCTTCAAATAAAAAGTTTTTGCTGTTTAATAAACATTTCCCATGTTTTTTTTTTAAAAAAAAATAGAACTAATTAGGAAATGACATTTATAACCCAGGAACAAAAATCGTGTTACATAATGCAATAATAATACAGTGTAAATCAGACATGGGCCAACTTGGGCCTTCCAAGTGTTTTGGACTTCAACTCCCACAATTCCTAACAGCCGGTAGGCTGTTAGGAATTGTGGGAGTTGAAATCCAAAACACCTGGAGAGGCCAAGCTGGCCCTTACCTGCTATACACAGAGCCTGGAGCTTTGTAAGAGAAGAAAAAGGGACATTCAACCATATTAACCATTGCCATTTTATCGTCACTTGTTTTTGTAGGTTTGGATGGGATGTCCCTGTGATTCTCAGAAACTCAGAAGAAACCGAATCAAGTGTGAAAGTCTCCCAGAAACAGATGCGACAAGTGAAGAATCCATTCAGTTTGGAAATCAAAAACCTCTCTGTAGCTTCAACTGCAAGTCAGTATACATATTTATTATTTTTTGCAATATTCAAAGGTTTGTTTCTACCTTCCCATAGCAAGACCTGTCCCTTGTTTTATTCGTGGTAACTTTTCCTATTGAACTTTATCCACTGATAGGGCTTAGATTCAGGAGCCAGCAGCCTTGATTTGGGCATCTATTATTATTACTAGCCGTCCCCTGCCATGTGTTACTATGGCCCAGACTGTGTATATGTGTTATGTGTGTATATGTGTGTGTATATTTGTGTATATGTGATTTATGTGGTTATGCGCATGCGTTGTCATGTAATTTTTTTTGGCTTTTTAAGTCTCTCCTGATGTGTTTTTCCATGTTTTTATGAGTGATGGTCACTCGTTGGCCTGGTAGGTGTATTGTCTTCAAATTTGGTGTCAATTTACCCAGTGGTTTTTGAGTTATGATAATCCCACAAACAAACATTACATTTTTATTTATATACTAGCTGTCCCCTGCCACTGGTTGTGTGGCCCACATGTGGGAGGTTTGGCCCAATTCTATCGTTGGTGGGGTTCGGAACTCTCTGTGATTGTAGGTGAACTATAAATCCCAGCAACTACAACTCCCAAATGTCAAGATTCTATTTTTCCCAAACTCCACCAGTGTTTACATTTGGGTATATTGAGTCTTTGTGTAGAGTTTGGTCCAGATCCATCATTGTTTGAGTCCACAGTGATCTCTGGATGTAGGTGAACTACAACTCCAAAACCAAAGGACACTGCCAACCAAACCCTACCAGTATTTTCTGTTGGTCATGGTAGAACTATGTGCCAAGTTTGGTTCAGTTCCATCGTTGGTGGGGTTCAGAATGCACTTTGTAGGTGAACTGTAAATCCCAGCAACTACAATTCCCAAATGACAAAATCATTTTTTTTGAGTGAAGGACATACATTGGGTTGTTAGGTGTCTTGTGTCCAAATTTGGTGTCAATTCGTCCAGTGGTTTTTGAGTTATGATAATCCCACAAACAAACAAACAAACATTACATTTTTATTTATATAACATATGTTGTCGAAGGTTCAGGTTGGAATCCCTGGGTTCCAGTGAGCTCATGTACTTCTCCAAGAGATGAAATACCAACAGCTTAGAATGAAGTTTTGGTTTGCGGGAAGAAAACCTTTTTAAGAAAGCCCTGTCCCTGGTCTTTTTTATCTGTTTTTGTCATTGGAATGGCTTTGAAACTTGAAAGGTTTCGAGCAGCGTTTCTCAACCTGGGGGTCGGGACCCCTGAGAGCCGTCGCGACGGGGTGTTAGAGGGGTCACCTATTGCACTCCAGAACAGGAACTAACCCCTCTGACTATAAACACACCACACGTTGAGTGAAGGAACAATCCTTTTTATTAAAGGTTAGCAAAAAAGCCAGTAGAAATAAATGTTTGTATAGATAGATAACATTCCAAAGAGCAATAAGGTATTCAAAGGCAGCCAGATAAAACAGTGTCTAAAATTATAATCCAAGGCAATGATATCCAGACAGGAACCAAACAAGAAGCAAGAACAGACCAGACGCTGCTAGTCACCTTAAAAAGCTAGAAAAATCCATGAAGACGAGACCACTTGAACAGGGATTCCATGAGGCTTACACTTGGTTTCCAAACGATGCCTGATCTGACAAGATTTTCTACAGACAAACCTTAAATCCCAAAAACTGGTATCGCTTTCCCCCAGACTTTTACTTTAATTGACGAATTTTTTCAGATCTACGTAAACATTGGGCCTCTTGTCGATTCTGGCTAATCTCCAGCCGCCGACTCTGCTTATCTGACTCCTCATTAACTTTAGCAGGTGTCAGACTGTTTTCCAAACCAGAATCTGGAGAGCTCACAGGCGGAGGGAGTAAACCTTTCTCCCAAGGCCTGACAGAAACATTCTCATGAGAATCTGCCCTTTGCACCGAAGCCTCTCTGTCAGTGTCTGCATGAAACTCATTGACCAAAGTGTCTCCATCTTGCACCTCAGAGTCAGTCCCAGCATCCCCCACATCAGAAGCAACAGGGGACTGACTTCCGTCCTCATTATCCACATCAGACACAGAAACATCAGGAGACTGAAACACATTCACAGGTTCAAACACAGGCTCAAGTTCAATCACAGGCTGAGTCCCAACATCACCAAAGACCATCAGAAAACATTTTCTGTTAGTCAGGGGGATTCTGTATGGGAAGTTTGGCCCAGTTCTGTCATTGGTGGGGTTCAGAATGCTCTTTGATTGTAGGTGAACTATAAATCCCAGCAACTGCAACTTCCAAATGTCAAGGTCTATTTTCCCCAAACTCCACCAGTGTTTGGGCATCTGTTGGGGACCCCTTCCCCAGCACCAACCGCCACTCTGGGCCAGAGTGAAGAGGACAGGGGACAGTTCCACCTTGTTTCCTGTGCTATGCTAATAATATAATGTAATGTAAAGTAATATAATATATTGCATATACATATAATATTATTATAATGCAATACAATGTAATACTAATAATATAATATTATAATTATATATTTTATATTACATGTAATATTACTAATAATATTACAATAATAATGGTATAGTACAATATATATATAATACTGATATTGTACTATGCTAATTATATAATGTATGTATATATATCTTGTAGGCTACTCTGAGTCCCCTTTGGGGTGAGAAGGGCGGCATATAAATGTCATAAATAAATAAATAAATATTGAGTATTCGTGTAGAGTTTGGTCCAGATCCATCATTGTTTGAGTCCACAGTGATCTCTGGATGTAGGTGAACTACAACTCCAAAAGCAAAGGACACTGCCCACCAAAACCTTCCAGTATTTTCTGTTGGTCATGGGAGTTCTGTGTGCCAAGTTTGGTTCAATTCCATCGTTGGTGGGTTCAGAATGCTCTTTGATTGTAGGTGAACTATAAATCCCAGCAACTACAACTCCCAAATGACAAAATCAATCCCCCCCAACCCACCAGTATTTAAATTTGGGCGTATCAAATATTTGTGGGCATATTGGGTATCTGTGCCAAATTTGGTCCAGATCAGATATTTACATGACGATTCATAACAGTAGCAAAATTACAGTTATGAAGTAGCAACAAAAATAATGTTATGGTTGGGGGCCACCACAACATGAGGGTCAGTATTAAGGGGTCACAGCATTAGGAAGGTTGAGAAACACTGGTTTAGAGATAGTTGTCTAAAAGGATGCAATGGAAACAATGGATTCATTCTCTGTCTTGCTTTCTTTTTTTACTTTGGATCTTTCAAATCAGCAAAATGTGTCCTAATCCTGTTTGTTTTTCCTCCCCAAGGTGGCATAACACTGTCTCTTGACTGTCTGGAAGATTGCCTCCTTACGTGTTACTGGGGTTGCAGCGTGCAAAGGCTCCACGAAGCTCTGCAGATACACGCCTATCGCTTTCGAATAAAAACTCCACAAGCTTTTGAGGATGCGTTGCATAACGAATACCATTACCGTGAACAGTATTCGTATCCTTTCTCTAAAGCTGGAACAGAATCCTGAACATTTCTCCTTCTTAATTATCGGAAAAGCCAGGTTCCAGCCCTTGTGGTTGCCAAGAATATTATTATTATTATTATAACTTTATTTGTACCCCGCTAGCATCTCCCAAGGGATTCGATGTGGCTTACACAGGCCGAAGCCCCAAAACACAATACAACAATACAATACCTAAAGCAAATTAAAAACAGTTAAGCAGGAAAACAATAACAGTAACAATACAACAAGACACTATTAAAACTGGGCCGGCCGAAGTAGGGGTACAGGGTTAAAAGTGCTGATGTGGCAGGAGGGATGTGGGATTAAATATAAGTGCAGTGTGCAGTGATCTTGGTTCTACTAAGGTGCTTCTAGGATTTGGTGCTGGAGGTTCCTAATCTGAAAAGGCACATCGGAACAGCCAGGTTTTCAATTCCTTCCTGAAGACTGCCAGTGTAGGGGCTTGTCTGAGATCTTTCGGGAGGGCGTTCCAGAGTCAGGGGGCCACCACAGAAAAGGCCCTGTCTCGTGTCCCCACCAAGCGCGCTTGCGACGCGGGCGGGATAACGAGCAGGGCCTCTCCAGATGACCGGAGTGAGCGTGTGGGTTCGTAGACAGCGATACGGTCACGCAGGTAGGGTGGTCCCAAACCGTTCAGGGCTTTGTAGGTAAGCACCTGCACCTTAAATTGGGCTCGGAAAATAAACGGCAGCCAGTGGAGCTCCTTAAACAGGAGGGTTGACCTCTCTCTGTAATGAGCCCCGGTTAACATCCTGGCTGCTGCCCGTTGGACCAGCTGGAATTTCCGAGCCGTTTTCAAGGGCAGCCCCACGTAGAGCGCGTTGCAGTAATCCAGTCTAGAGGTGACCAAGGCATGGACCACCCCGGTCAGATCATATATAAGTTGACCTTATGTATAATTGTAGAATCATTGAAAGAAGAACATTTTTAAGATTGAGCCATTGGTGCTGTGAAATGTTATGTGGATATGTTTTTAATCAAACTTTTATTATTATTATTATTATTATTATTTGATACACAACAAGATTAGTACACAGCAAACAAGATCACTATGCTGGCTTTTGCATTTGATCACACATCAGACACTTCCTAAGTGTTTACGACTGTGTGATGTATCGGCGAAGAATGCGTGCAGATCTGAGGAGGGTGGCCTTTTGCATCTGACAGATAGTGGACATCTCAGCACAACAAGGCAAGGAAACACATCGGCCACAGTCTCCTTTAGGCTATAAACTAATTTATTGTACAACTATTTACATTAGAAGCTAAGCAGATTGTAAAACTTGCTTCCTCTCCATTCGGCAGCTACATCATGAACACAGAACATGCTGTTATCAGCAGTAGTCCACACCTCCTGCATTTCAGTGTGACGTATGACATACGATGCACTACGCTGCATCCATTGCTCTCTGCACTAAGATTTATGATCTCTCTAGGAATGCCGTTTCCCTTCATGGTACAGTTAACCCTTTCCACACAGGAATACTGTCGGCACACTGCATTACATTTTTAAACATACAAACACACTTTGACATCTACATCATACATTTCAAAACGCATTAACATTTTTGTCAACACTAATTGTGTTCAAGTGCAGGCCAAGGTCTTTAGGCACTGCACCCAGTGTGCTGATCACCACTGGTACCCCCATGACTGGCTTGTGCCAGAGTCTGCAGTTTGATCTTTAAATCCTCATATCGTGCCAGCTTTTCCAGTTGTTTCTCTTCAATCCTGCTGTCACCCGGGATTACAACAATCCATACTTTGTTTTGTAACACAATCGTGAGATCAGGGATATTGTGCTCCAAAACTCTTGTCAGTCTGAATTCAGAAGTAGTTTTGTGTGTTCATTTTCCGTAATTTTTTCAGGCTTTTGATCCCACAGTTTTTTGTCACAGGCAGATAGTATTTATTGCATAAGTTCCAGTATGTTTGTTATTTTTATTATGCTATTATTATGTTTATTTATTCCCTGCTTTATCTCTCCCAAGGGAGACTCAAAGCGGCCTACGTTAAAAGTATGACCACATAATTTAAAATACACAATTATGCAAACATTAAAACAGAATTAAACACAACAGTATTTTTAAAATGCATGGTTTTAACTGTTTAATTAAATTTATTTGTGTGTTTTCTAGGTTTTAGACTATATATTATGCTACTTTTACTATTAGCCGCTTTAGATCTCATTTTTAGAGAGAGTGAGAGACTGGGATAATAATAATAATAATAATAATAATAATAATAATAATAATAATAATAGGGTTGGAAAAGGGTCCAATGGCCATGCAGCTTATAATATTCAGCTTCTAACGGCGTCAGCATTCCTTTTCCTTTTGAAAGTGCTACTTGGCCTTATGACAGCAACTAGATCAGGACTTACGATGCTCCTATTGATGCAGCCTAGAATTGCCTTGGCTTTTTTAGCTACCACATCACACTATTGACTCAGGTGGAATCGCCTTTCTGCAATTTTGAATCCACAATGTGGCATCCTTTCGTATATTTAAAATTGTTTATCATGTCCTCTTTCAATTTCTCCAAGCTAAACATACCCAGATCCCATTGAACTTGGCTTCCAGACCTCCCACCACTTAGGTCAGCCTTCTCTGGACACCTTCAGTTTTGTCCATATTCCTCTTGAATTGCTTTGCCCAGAACTGATACAGGGTTATTCCAGGTGAGAAGGTCCAGGTGACCAGACCAGAAGAGAGTGTGACTATGAGTTTTCTGGTTACATCCCGTATAGACTACTGCAACGCTCTCTACGTGGGGTTGCCTCTGAAGACTGCCCGGAAGCTGCAATTAGTCCAATGGGCGGCAGCCAGATTACTAACAGGAGCGGGGTACAGGGAGCATACTACTCCTCTGTTTCACCAGCTCCACTGGCTGCCAATTAGCTTCCGAGCACAATTCAAAGTGCTGGTGTTGACCTATAAATCCCTAAACGACTCCGGCCCAGTTTACCTGTCCGAACGGATTCTCCCCTATGAACCATCAAGGTTGTTAAGATCTTCTGGAGGGGCCCTGCTCTCGGTCCCACCACCTTCGCAATCGCGTCTGGTGGGGACAAGGGACAGGGCCTTCTCGGTGGTGGCCCCTCGGCTCTGGAACTCTCTCCCATTGGAGATTAGAACTGCCCCTTCCCTCCTGACCTTTAGAAAGTTGGTGAAAACCTGGCTCTGGAATCTGGCATTTGATGAGTGAGTCAATAACTCTTGACCACACGGATGGATGGGGATGAATAGTGATTCGGGTGACTTGGCCTTATGTAATTATATGATTGTATTTTAATGTGTTTTATATTAGCGTATTATTGGATGTGATGTTTTAAACTATTGTGTATGAATTCCTCTGTTGTAAACCGGCCCGAGTCCCTCGTTGGAGGTGAGAAGACTGGTATATAAAAACTCTAAATAAATAAATAAATAAATTTCTCAATCCAGACACTGTCCTTCTATTGATGCAGCCTAGTATCACCTTGGCTTTTTTAGCTGCCGCATCACTCTGTTGACTCCTGTTCTACTTGTGATTATTGGACAGCTTGGGGACCAAAATTATAGATTTTGATAAGACCCATGAATAAGTCAAGGGTCAATAAGTCGAGGGTCATTCTATGGGCTATACCGAGAATCCGCACTCAGGAAAGTCGCTATTGCCAATATTGCAATTCCCCCAAATTCCTGAGCCATTTGCAAACATAAGGCCTAGCAACACTCTCAAAAGAAAAAGCAAGACTGGAGGTGTATTTTACAGTAGATTTGCTTATACTAAATGTATTTCTAAAATATAATCCCTGTGAATTGTCATTATTGGAGGAAAACCACCCATTCCTCTATGCCCGGTGAAGCCAGTCTCAAAGGATGGCGCTTTGGTGCTTGATTGCGCTCTTCCTGCGCTCTTGCTTTGCTGGCACCAAAACGACATTTGTCTTCAGTTATGGCTACAGAGCAAAGGTTCCTTGACACGCGCAAAGCATAAAGAAGATGGACAAAGAGGAGAAGCACTGTCAGTTACCGGCAGAGGCACAAATCGTTGATTTTGGCCCGGTGCCTCGATCTTCGTATCCTTTGGTGGCGCTGCTGACCTTGGCAGATGAAGACAACAGAGAGATCTATGACATTGTAAGTCAATCTCTTGTCTTTTGAAACCAGAAGTAGAATAGAATTGAACTACGGTGTTCCCTCACTTATCGCGGGGGTTACGTTCCAACAACCCCCTCAATAAGTGAAAAACTGTGAAGTAGGGAATTGTGGGAGTTGAAGTCCAAAACCCCTGGAGGGCCAAAGTTGGCCCAGGCCTGATAGAGGCCGAGAAGGAGCCTGTCGCAGCGAGGCGTTCCCCTTTCCCCATTTCCTATCGAAGGCGGCGCTGGCATGATGGGGCAGCAGGCCTCGCAGACCTCCACCAGATCCCTTTGTTAGGGATTCCTCATCTTCAGAAAAGGAGCAAGGAAGTGCTCAGGAATTGGAGGCAGAAGAAGAATCAGACAATGGGGTTTTGAAAGTGCCCACATTTCTAGACAGACGAAAAGAGACAGATAGCGTTCAGCTAGAACAGCTGCTAAAAACACTGAGCTAAACCCTAGTATCTCCTGCGTGGGGAATTCAGGGCTATAAATCAGAAGCAGGAGCAATCAGCTTTTGCTGGTAACAATGACCCTGATACTGACGCTTTCATTCCAATAGAACCTGCTTTGTGTCTGCTGCTAAGGACTTAGTGATCATTGCCCATTGTCTGATGGAAGACTGCTGTTTCTTTTGTGACTTTGTAAGAGCCTTTAATTTGTGTCTAGATTAGATTGTTAACTGGTGCTCCATTGGCTGCCGTTCATTTTCTGGTCCCAATTCAAGGTGCAGGTGCTTACCTACAAAGCCCTAAATGGTTCGAGATCCGCCTACCTGCGTGACCGCATCTCTGTGTACAAACCCACACGATCTCTTAATTCATCTGGAGAGGCCCTGCTCACGATCCCACCTCCATCGCAAGCGCGATTCGTGGGGACGAGGGATAGCGCCTTCTCAGTGGTGGCCCCTCGACTCTGGAAGTCGCTCCCCAAGGACATTAGACATGCCCCAACTCTGGCAGTCTTTAAGAAGAGCCTGAAAACGTGGTTGTTCCAGTGTGCCTTCCCAGAATAAGGAAACTTAAGCAACATATCTCTAATCGCACTTTACTGATGATCTAGGATTGTCTGCCCGCTCTATTTCTCTCCAAATACCCATCCTAGTTATATGTCACCTTGTCATGCCCAGTATTTTAAAATTTTAATTGTTACATTTGGCCCTGCCATGGGTTTTAATGTGTTGTGGGGTTACTGTTTTGTTTATTGCTTTGTTTATGAGTTATTTGTTGTCTGTATTGCTGTCATAGAATCATAGAATCAAAGAGTTGGAAGAGACACCTCATGGGCCATCCAGTCCAACCCCATTCTGCCAAGAAGCAGGAATATTGCATTCAAATCACCCCTGACAGATGGCCATCCAGCCTCTGTTTAAAAGCTTCCAAAGAAGGAGCCCCCAGCACACTCCAGGGAGAGAGAGAGTTCCACTGCTGAACAGCTCTCACAGTCAGGAAGTTCTTCCTCATGTTCAGGTGGAATCTCCTCTCTTGTAGTTTGAAGCCATTGTTCCATTGCGTCCTAGTCTCCAGGGAAGCAGAAAACAAGCTTGCTCCCTCCTCCCTGTGGCTTCCTCTAACATATTTATACATGGCTATCATATCCCCTCTCAGCCTTCTCTTCTTCAGGCTAAACATGCCCAGCTCCTTAAGCCGCTCCTCATAGGGCTTGTTCTCCAGATCCTTGATCATTTTACTCACCCTCCTCTGGACACATTCCAGCTTGTCAATATCTCTCTTGAATTGTGGTGCCCAGAATTGGACACAATTGTTGTTTTTATTGATGTATTGTGCTTGGCCTCTTGTAAGCTGCACCGAGTCCCCCGGGAGATGGTAGCGGGGTATAAATAAAGGTTTATTATTATTGTTATTATTAGAGTAAGACTTCCTTGCTTTCTTTTGCACTTTTCAATTGCATTTGCTTATCCTTTGTGTCTGCTAAGGTAAAGCATTTTTCTTTTACTTTCCACATTGTATAAAGGCTGTTTTTGAAGGGCAACTCAGGACAGGCCGGCACCAGACCCTGGTCTTACCTGGCTTGCGAGGCCTGCCACTCCTTCCTCGCCTGGCCCAGCCTGGCGAAGAAGGAGCGTGGAGCAGCGGAGGGATGAAGATGAGGACGCTGCCACTGAGGCCCTCTTCAGCGGCAGCTTCCTCTTCTTCACCACCTCCGCTTCTCCCCACCTTGGAGGTCCCTTCCTCACCAGGCTGGGTGCCCAAGCCTGGTGCCCAGCCTGGCGAGGAAGGAATGGCGAGCAGCTACACAGTGTTCCCTCAGTGCTCCCCGCGAAACAGCGTGTCCGAAATAAGCGAACTGCGAAGTAGCGAGGGAACACTAACCATATGTGGGAAAATGACTGTCAAAAGTAGAGACTTCCAAACCTGTGGGATATGTTGTTGTTGTTCATTCGTTCAGTCGTCTCCGACTCTTCGTGACCTCATGGACCAGCCTACGCCAGAGCTCCCTGTCGGCCGTTACCACCCCCAGCTCCCTCAAGGTCAGTCCAGTCACTTCAAGGATGCCATCCATCCATCTTGCCCTTGGTCGGCCCCTCTTCCTTTTGCCTTCCACTTTCCCCAGCATCATTGTCTTCTCTAGGCTTTCCTGTCTCCTCATGATGTGACCAAAGTACTTCAACTTTGTCTCTAGTATCTTTCCCTCCAGTGAGCAGTCGGGCTTTATTTCCTGGAGGATGGACTGGTTGGATCTTCTCGCAGTCCAAGGCACTCTCAGAACTTTCCTCCAACACCACAGCTCAAAAGCATCGATCTTCCTTCGCTCAGCCTTCCCTAAGGTCCAGCTCTCACATCTGTAGGTTACTACAGGGAATACCATGGCTTTGACTAGGCGGATCTTTGTTGCCAGTCTGATGTCTCTACTCTTCACTATTTTATCGAGACTGGACATTGCTCTCCTCCCAAGAAGTAAGCGTCTTCTGATTTCCTGGCCACAGTCTGCATCTGCAGTAATCTTTGCACCTAGAAATACAAAGTCTGTCACGGCCTCCACGGTTTCTCCCTCTATTTTCCAGTTGTCAATCATTCTTGTTGCCATAATCTTGGTTTTTTTTTTAGCTGCAACCCGGCTTTTGCGCTTTCTTCTTTCACCTTGATTAGAAGGCTCCTCAGCTCCTCCTCGCTTTCGGCCATCAGAGTGGTGTCATCTGCATATCTGAGGTTGTTAATGTTTCTTCCAGCAATTTTCACCCCAGCTTTGAATTCATCAAGCCCCGCACATCGCATGATGTGTTCTGCATACAAGTTAAAAAGGTTGGGTGAGAGGATGCAGCCTTGCCGTACGCCTTTCCCAATCTTGAACCAGTCTGTTGTTCCGTGGTCAGTTCTGACTGTGGCTCCTTGGTCCTTGTACAGATTCCTCAGGAGAGAGACAAGGTGGCTTGGGATGCCCATCCCACTAAGAACTTGCCACAATTTATTATGATCCACACAGTCAAAGGCTTTAGAATAGTCAATGAAGCAGAAGTAGATGTTTTTCTGAAACTCCCTGCTTTCTCCATTATCCAGCGGATATTGGCAATTTGGTCTCTTGTTCCTCTACCTTTTCTAAACCCAGCTTGAACATCTGGCAACTCTCGCTCCATGTATTGCTGGAGTCTTCCTTGCAGGATCTTGAGCATTACCTTACTGGCATGTGAAATAAGGGCCACTGTACGGAAGTTTGAGCAGTCTTTCGCATTTCCCTTTTTTGGTATGGGGATATAAGTTGATTTTTTCCAGTCTGATGGCCATTCTTGTGTTTTCCATATTTGCTGGCAAATGGCATGCATCACCTTGACAGCATCATCTTTTAAGATTTTAAACAGTTCAGCTGGGATCCCGTCGTCTCCTGCTGCCTTGTTGTTAGCAATGCTTCTTAAGGCCCATTCCACCTCACTCCTCAGGATGTCTGGTTCTAATTCACTCACCACACCATCAAAACTATCCTCAATATTATTATTCCTCCTATACAGATCTTCCATATAGTCTCACCACCTTCTCTTGATCTCTTCAGCTTCTGTTAGGTCCTTGCCATCTTCGTTTCTTATCATGCCAATTTTTGCCTGAAATTTACCTTCAATGCTTCTAATTTTCTGGAAGAGGTCTCTTGTCCTCCCTATTCTGTTGTCTTCTTCCACTTCCATGAATTGCTTGTTTAAAAATAGTTCCTTATCTTCTGGCTAACTCCTGGAATTGCACATTTAATTGGGCATATCTTCCCTTATCACTGTTTACTTTTGCTTTCCTTCTTTCTTGGGCTACTTCCAGTGTCACAGCAGACAACCATTTTGCCTCCTTTGGGACGTACTTTGTTGCCGCCTCCTGAACAATGTCCCGGACTTCTGTCCATAGTTCTTCTGGGACTCTATTTACTAAATCTAGTCCTTCAAATCTGTTCTTCACTTCCACTGTATATTCGCTAGGAATGTTAGTGAGATCATATCTAACTGGTCTGTGTATTTTCCCTGATCTCTAGTTTTATTCTAAACTGAGCAATAAGAAGTTCGTGATCTGAGCTACAGTCAGCCCCAGGTCTTGTTTTCACCGACTGGATGGATGTCCACCACCTTTGGCTGCAAAGGATGTAGTCAATCTGATTTCGGTGTTGACCATCTGGTGAGGTCCATGTATAAAGCCGTCTTTTAGGTTGTTGGAAGAGAGTATTCGTTATACACAGCGAGTTTTCCTGGCAAAATTCTATCAGCCTGCGTCCCGCTTCATTTTGTTCTCCCAGACCATGCTTGCCTGTGATCCCAGTTGTCATTTGACTTCCCACCTTGGCATTCCAGTCTCCTGTAATGAAAATAATGTCTCTTTTTGGTGTATTATCCAGTAGGTCCTGCAGATCCTCATAGAACTGATCTACTTCTGCTTCTTCAGCAGCTGTGGTTGGGGCGTATATTTGGATCACTGTAATGTTGAAAGGCTTTCCTTGCACTCGAATTGAGATCCTTCTGTCATTTTTTGGGTTGTATCCAAGCACCGCTTTAGCGAATTTCTTATTAATTATGAAGGCTACTCCATTTCTTCGATGTTCCTCTTGTCCGCAGTAGTAGATCTGGTGGTCATCTGATGTGAAGTGGCACATTCCAGTCCATTTCAGTTCGCTGACCCCCAGAATGTCTATCTTTAGTCTTGACATCTCACCAATAACAACATCCAATTTGCCCTGGCTCATAGATCTTACATTCCAGGTTCCTATGGTGTGTTGATCTTTAGCGCATCGGATTCGTCGTTCACCTCCAGTACCGTCGGCCGCTAGCCTTCCTTTCGGCTTTGAGCTAGCTGCGTCATCACATCTGGGGCTAGTTGAACTTATCCTCTGCTCCTCCCCAGTAGCATTTTGGCCATCTTCCGACCTGGGAGTCCCATCTTCCAATGGCATACCGACATATCTCTGGTTGTACTGGTCCATTTAGTTTTGTGGGATATGGAAAGATGCAAAGTCTCATGAAGACTGTGTATACGTATTTATTTCATCTTTAACTTGACTTCTTAGCATGATGGCATTTCCAAGCTATTGCTGTACCGCTTCAGGCATTTGCTAATTCTATTAATCGTTCCAGATTTAAAGCTGCCAGAGAAATCATCCAGGCATCCCCTGGGCAACGTCCTTGCAGATGGCCAATTCTCTCACGCCAGAAGCGACTTGCAGTTTCTAAGGTCGCTCCTGACACGACAAAAACATAAAACACATGTATAAAAACACATATATTGAAACGCATAGTACAAAGATTAAAATACAATACAAAAAGAATGTAAATTTAAAATCCATAGTTTGATTGCGTAGGCCTGCCGGAAGAGACAGATCTTCCATTAGAATCACAGAATCCTTGAGTAGGAAGAGACCTCGTGGGCCATCCAGTCCAACCCCATTCTGCCAAGAAGCAGGAATATTGCATTCAAAGCCATTGCGTCTTTAATTTGGAACAAATGCCTTTTGTGGTTTCGACATTATAGTATTAATATTAAATTACATAGTATTAAATACTTTACATAATATTAAATTTCTGGAAATTATGGCTAAAAAGAATTTAAAGTTTTTTTTTTAACCTGCTGCATATTGTGGTTTGAGGGTTGATTGATCTATAAAGAAAATACCACTTAATGAAAAGGTGATTTTTCCCCCTTTGATAGGTTTCTCTGGTATCTGTAATTCATGTCCCTGATGACTACTACCGGCTGTCCTGCAGGATGCTGTATCAGTATCTCCTTTTGGCCCAGGGACAATTTCATGACCTCAAGGTAAGTCATGGGCTTCATTCTTTTGTTTATTATACCTAATTTTTTAAGGGATTTTTTTTTTTTGCACTACATCTGGAAGAGATGCCACGTTCCCCTCTCCTTTTTTCAAGACACTATTAAAGCTAACACAGTTTGAGAATCTGAAATGCCTGGGACTAGAAATGTTTCAGATTTCAGGGTTACAGTATTCCCTCACTTATTGTGGGTGTTACGTTCCAGGACCACCCGCGAAAAGTGAAAATCCGCAAAGTAGGATGTAATATATATATTACATTCTGAGGGTGATGTTGCACTCCAGAGAAGGAAACAGGGCCCTCTTGTCATTAATACACCACACCTTATTTATTTACTTACTTTCTTACTTACTTACTTCATTTATATACCGCTTTTCTCAGCCCTCAGGCGACTCAAAGTGGTTAACAACAGCAAAATTCAATGCAAAACATCATAAACGATTATGGGACAGTTAAAACAATAGCATCATCAACAATTAAACATCAATGTAACAATCATTAGCATCTCATCAGTAAAATCAGAATCCAATCTCATCATCCATTAATCCGTGTTCCTATATTCATTACACTGCTTAATCAAATGCTTGTTCGAACAGCCAGGTCTTCACTTTCCTCCGAAATGCCAATAGGGAGAGGGATCTGATATCTATAGGAAGGGCATTCCACAGCCGAGGGGCCACCACTGAGAAGGCCCTGTCTTGTTCCCACCAGGCGCACCTGTGATGCAGGCGGGACTGAGAGCAGGGCCTCCCCAGATGATCTTAATGTCCTAGTTGGTTCAAAAGAGGAGATGTGTTCGGAGAGGTAAGTAGGGCCAGAACCGTTTAGGGCTTTATAGGCTAATGCCAGCACTTTGAATTGTGCCCTGTTAGCAACCTGGCTGCTGAGCGTTGGACCATTTGAAGCTTCCGAGCAGTCTTCAAAGGCAACCCCACATAGAGGGTGTTGCAGTAGTCTATACCTTGGTTTAGGAAAAATACAATCCTTTTTATTGAATGATGAATAGAAAATAGTTTGAAGTCCAAAGGTAAAAAAGCCAAAATGAAAGAGCAAACAGCAATGTCCAGAAAGCTTGCAGAAAATCCAAAGCAGTCATGTCCAGAAAACTCTGAATAGAAAACCATGAACAGATTATCCCCTGCTAGATCTCACTTGAAGCCAGAAATTCCCTTAGAGACCAGACCACTGGAAACTGGAAAACCCAGGAGTTTTGTATTTGATACTAAACGATGCTTCATCTGAAGAAATTCCCCTCACGGCCACTCTTAAATCCCAAAAACCGATTCCGGCTAACTCTAATCTTTGGTTTCAGTTGTCGGATTCTCTCGGACCTACATAAACATTGAGCCTCCCTGCGGTTCTGGCTTATCTCCAAACTGCGGCTGTTATGATTGACTCGACCAGGTGTCAAATTATCTTGCAAGCTCAGGCCAGAAGGAGAAAGGAGTGAATTTTCTTCTCTTGGTCTGACAGAAACTTTCTCATGAGAACTTGGCTTTTCCCTTGAAGCCTCTCAATCAAAGCCTGTAGGATTTTTACTGCCCAAAGTGTCTCCATCTTGAACCTCGTCCTCACTGATCACTTCAGCCTCACTATCCAAACTAGGCCCATCAACATTAGCATCAGCATTAGGCAATACAATCAGAGATTCGGGCTCAGGTTCACACACAGGCTGAGTCCCAACAGGTGAGGCAGAAGCGAGGAGAGGTTTAAAGGCACCGCACACTTTTTTTTTGCTAGCTATCTTTGCTTTGCTTTGCAATCTCTCTTGCAAAGAAACCCCCCTTCCACACTCCATCATTGCCAGGAGACGGGATTAGAACGCTACTCTAGGCAACGGCATGCATTCATAAACTGGGAGGCACAAACCCGCGAAACGGCGAGTGCATGAAAAGTGAGGGAACACTGAATTTGGATTTTTGAGAATCTTTATTTGCAGCTAAGTACATAATGGGATATCTTGGAGATGGAACTCAAGTCTGAAAACACAAAATTGATTTATGTTTCATATACATCCTGAAAGAAGGGGACATGATAGAATCATAGAGTTGGAAGAGACCTCGTGGGCCATCCAGTCCAACCCCATTCTGCCAAGAAGCAGGAATATTGCATTCAAAGCACCCCTGACAGATGGCCATCCAGCCTCTGCTTAAAAGCTTTCAAAGAAGGAGCCTCCACACACTCCAGGGCAGAGAGTTCCACTGCTGAACGGCTCTCACAGTCAGGAAGTTCTTCCTCATGTTCAGATGGAATCTCCTCTCTTGTAGTTTGAAGCCATTGTTTCGTGTCCTAGTCTCCAGGGAAGCAGAAAACAAGCTTGCTCCCTCCTCCTCCCTAGAATCATAGAATCATAGAATCATAGAATCAAAGAGTTGGAAGAGACCTCATGGGCCATCCAGTCCAACCCCATTCTGCCAAGAAGCAGGAATATTGCATTCAAATCACCCCTGACAGATGGCCATCCAGCCTCTGTTTAAAAGCTTCCAAAGAAGGAGCCTCCACCACAATCCGGGGCAGAGAGTTCCACTGCTGAACGGCTCTCACAGTCAGGAAGTTCAGGGTCTTAGGTCCAATGAATAGATCTGTAACTGCAAGTTCAGTTCCATATTTAAACTAATGCAAAAAGAAAGAGTAATCCAAAGAAGGAGCCTCCACCACACTCCGGGGCAGAGAGTTCCACTATTGAACGGCTCTCACAGTCAGGAAGTTCTTCCTCATGTTCAGATGGAATCTCCTTTCTTGTAGTTTGAAGCCATTGTTCCGCGTCCTAGTCTCCAAGGAAGCAGAAAACAAGCTTGCTCCCTCCTCCCTGTGGCTTCCTCTCACATATTTAGACATGGCTATCATATCTCCTCTCAGCCTTCTCTTCTTCAGGCTAAACATGCCCAGCTCCTTAAGCCACTCTTCATAGGGCTTGTTCTCCAGACCCTTGATCATTTTAATTGCCCTCCTCTGGACACCTTCTGTAGCGAACTACTGGTTATGGGGTAGAATTTAAAAGTAAAACTTAATGTTAGAACATGGCCTATATTGCAGGGTTGGAATGAGACCAGCCATTCTGTGATTCTTAAAGGGGTAGTAGCAGTAGGGGCGGAGGTAATTTACATAAGGGAATCTGATTGGTCATATTTAAATGAGCAGATGCCAGAATTTTAAAAAGGAGGGAGTTAAGGGTGACAATTGGAATTTAAAAAAAAGTGAACATTTTGAGAGCAAAGAGAAGTCAGTTAGAGAGAGAGAGAGAAGTCAGAGAGAGAGGGAAGAAAAAGCCGTTAGATGAGGATAAGTTAGGGGACCATGAATACGGGTCAGAAAATAAGTAAGAGTATTTAAAGAAATAGGATAGTGAGTGGAGAACAGTTGAGAGTTTGCTATTATATGATTAACAAGTGAATATTTCTATGTGTAAAAAGTCATAAGGATGAGAGTTGTCATGAAACAACATTATATTCAACTAAGACGCTAATATATAAATGTAAACAACAAGCTTTTGTGCAAGACATCTATAAATAAACTCAGTTAATGTGGAGTTGTGTATGTTTTGCAAAACATTGAATAAGATTTAAAGAGAAACCCAGAGGAGTCCCAGCAGTTTTCAGAAGAGAACTGGTATAAGTTACTGGCCTGAATTTGTGACAGTGGAGAGATATAAAGGAAAGGATCTTTGCCCCCCCCCCCCACTTAGTTTGAAGATATATTATGGGAAGAGGGCATCCCACCTTCCAGCTCTTCAATATCTCTCTTCAATTGTGGTGCCCAGAATTGGACACAATATTCCAGGTGTGGCCATGTTTAAATATTCGAAAGGCTGCCCTATTGAAGAAGGAGCGGGCTTGTTTTCTGTCTTGTCAATGGCTGGAATCACTGGGTTGCTGTGAGTTTTCTGGGCTATCTGGCCATGTTCCAGAGCATTCTCTCCTGATGTTTTGCAAAGATGGCCATCCAGCATCTGCTTTAAAACTTCCTGTTCATAGGGTTGTTGTAGGTTTTTTCGGGCTATATGGCCATGTTCTGGAGGCATTCTCTCCTGACGTTTCACCTGCATCTATGGCAAGCATCCTCAGAGGTAGTGAGGTCTGTTGGAAGTAGGAAAAAGGGTTTATATATCTGTGGAATGACCAGGGTGGGACAAAGGACTCTTGTCAGCTGGAGCTGATTAGCATATAATGGCCTGGCAGTGCCTGGAGCAAAGTTTTGTTGAGAGGTGATGAGATGTCCTTGTTTGTTTTCCTCTTCATGTTCATAATCTTTGGTTTCTCCCTTCCTCCCTGTCTCCAGCAACTCTTCATGTCTGCAAACAGCAATGCAGCAGCCCCTTTGAGCAGCCCTCCCTCTGGACTGGAAGCCGAGGACCGCGTCCTGCTTGAAAAGGTCGGTCTGGCGGAGGATGAGTCGGAAACACCTGAGGAGAACAGCAAGGACTGCATCGTCTGTCAGAACCGGGCCGTCAACTGGGTACTCCTCCCGTGCCGCCACACTTGCCTGTGCAACGAGTGCGTCAGACACTTCCAGCAGTGCCCGATGTGCCGGCAGTTTGTGCGGGAGTCCTTCCCCCTGAGCAGCCAGGAGGAGTGAGGCCAGGAAGGGAGATGTGGGGTGGATTTGTCGAGAAACTTTGGATGGCAAAACCTCTGGAAACTGACATCTTTTGCATTCTGAGACGGCGGTGTTTTTCTGTTTGGTTTCTTTCCTCTTTATAAATGACTTCCGCACTTAATACAGTCGGAAACAACACTGCGGTGGCTTCTGAAGTCAGAACTCTGGTATTGTACGATATAGAAGCCACAGCGTGAACTTACTACAAAAGGCGTCTTTCCAAACACAGAACATTTCTTGAAGAAGCTTTCTCTCGACAAAACTGACATTGGAAGGCCTTGCCGGAACACGCATTCCCGTGTGAAAAATGCTTGTGTTCCCTTAATTATTTATTACTGGTTTTCAGAAGAACCAGCCACTGGCAACAATGCACTTTAGAGCTGTAAAGTGTGCAAAAAAGAAAAGAAAGAAATATATATGAGGCTGTGATTGCAGTTCTTTAATAATAGTTCTTCACACTTCTGGTTTTCTTGGTCTCCTGGCACTCAGTTGTTTACCTTGTTTGGGGGACTTTCTGTGTTCAGGGTCTTAGGTCCAATGAATAGATCTGTAACTGCAAGTTCAGTTCCATATTTAAACTAATGCAAAAAGAAAGAGTAATCCAAAGAAGGAGCCTCCACCACACTCCGGGGCAGAGAGTTCCACTATTGAACGGCTCTCACAGTCAGGAAGTTCTTCCTCATGTTCAGATGGAATCTCCTTTCTTGTAGTTTGAAGCCATTGTTCCGCGTCCAGGGGCGGTTCGTCCATTACGCGAAGTAAGCGGTCGCAGAACACTTTTTTTGCCAGGGGCGCAGAGGCACTTCTGGAAATGCCCCTCGACTGCCACTTGAGGAGCGCCCCCTCAGCTCACAACAGCCCTAGCAGTCCGGGGGGAGCCTCGGCTTTCTTGCCTCGCTGCCGGGCGATCCTCTTCCCAAAGGGGCCGGGCCCTTGAGCCTCGCCTAGCCCCTCGTTCCTGCTCCACCCGGCCACCGGGTGCGCGAGCAGAGCCGGCGCTCAATCGTTCTCCGCGTTCGATCCCTTCCCCATGACCGGCTCCCTTTCCCGATCCCCCGGCGCTCCACCCGCCTCCTCTCCTTTCCCCAATCCGCGGGTGGGCCAAGGGGCGGAGCCGCCGCGCCTGGCCCGCTTCGGGTCCGGAGGCGTGTCTGAAGACCCCAGCGTGCGCACCAAAAGTCGCCTCTTCTCCTGACTTTCTCTTCAGCCATTGGGACCAAGAGAGAGAGAGAGAGCCCTCCGGCTGGAGGTATCTCCCACCTCTGCTCCCTCCTTTGTTTTTGCACCTACCTTCAGGAAAGGTGGGCATCTCCACCTCTCTCTCTCTCTCTTGGTCCCAATGGCTGAGGAGAAAGTCAGGAGAAGAGGTGACTTTTGGTGCACACGCTGGGGTCTTCAGGCACGCCTCCGGACCCAAAGCGGGCCAGGCAAGGGGAAAATAGACCTTGACATATGCGAGTTGTAGTTACTGGGATGTATAGTTCACCTACGATCAAAGAGCATTCTGAACTCCACCAATGATGGAATTGAACCAAATATGGCACACAGAATTCCCACGACGAACAGAAAATATATATCAATGATTGGTTGGGGGGGGGGGGCGCCAAAATACTGTTTGCTTACCATTGAAAATTACCTAGGGCTGCCTCTGGTCCTATGTGCCATGTTTGGTTGATTCCATCATTGGTGGAGTTCAGGAAGCATTTTAATTGTAGGTTAACTATAAATCCCAGCAACTACAACTCCCAAATGACAAAATCAACTTAATCCCACAAGCGAACATTACATTTTTATTTATATAGATTACTTACTGACTGTAAGGGACTGCCTGTGGCTGTCTACCCAGTGGCTTGTTCATGGCAATCAGGCAAAAGTAAAATGACACAAAAGAGCAATGGGTTCAAATGGCAGGAAAAGAGCAGTGACCCTGAGTTTGCAAAACCTGACCAGGGCTATTGAGGACAAAGTGTCTTGGAGACCTCTCATGTATGGGGTTGACTGCAATATAACAGCCCCTGATTAAAGGGCGGAGGATTGTTTGTTGATTGCTAATCATCCACCAGCCATGCTGATATGCCATAGCCTTGTTCAGCACCCCCAGCAGCGCATGCAGTTCGCCACCCCATTGTTTGCACCCTGGATGCCGCCAGCGGATCCGTCCTCTCCATCTGCTGCTTTGTCTGAGTTAAGAACATCTATCGGGGGCTCCTCCAAACACGATCCGAGAGACTGAACTGTTAACTCCCAAACAGATGGCTCCTGCAGCGTTGGCAAAGCGTGCCTCATGTTTGCTTAATTAAGTCGCATGTCATACTGAAAACTAAAGCATGTTTGCGTGCCGTACATAAGCACCAGCGTGGAAAAATGCAGTGACAGGGAAGGGGATGCAGTCATATGCTTCATGCAAGAAGCAAGCCGGTCTGCGGGGAAAAGCAGATGATGCTCGATTCATTTATATAGTTGTTGGATTGAGTCAGGAGATGACAAGAAGCCATCATGCTATACTTTACTTAGGCGATCCCTCGCAGCTCGAGGATGATGGTCCACAAAACAAAACACAAAGTTTGCAAGCTTGGTAGTTGATTAGATGTCCTTTGACCAGTATCTGGCCACTTGGAGTGCCTCTGGTGTTGCCGCAAGAAGGTCCTCCATTGTGCATGTGGCAGGGCTCAGGTTGCATTGCAGCAGGTGGTCAGTGGTTTGCTTTTCTCCACACTCACATGTCGTGGATTACACTTTGTGGCCCCATTTCTTGATGTTGGCTCTGCATCTCGTGGTGTCAGAGAGCAGTCTGTTCAGCGCCTTCCAAGTCGCCCAGTCTTCTGTGTGCCCAGGGGGGATTCCCTCATCTGGTATCAGCCATTGGTTGAGGTTCTGGGTTTGAGCCTGCCACTTTTGGACTCTCGCTTGCTGAGGTGTTCCAGCGAGTGTCTCTGTAGATCTTAGAAAACTATTTCTTGATTTGAGTCGTTGACGTGCTGGCTGATACCCAAACAAGGGATAAGCTGGAGATGTCACTGCCTTGGTCCTTTCACTATTGGCTGCTACTTCCCGGTGGATGTCAGGTGGTTTAATACCGGCTAAGCACTGTAGTTTCTCCAGTGGTGTAGGGCGCAGACACCCCGTGATAATGCGGCATGTCTCATTCAGAGCCACATCCACTGTTTTAGCGTGGTGAGATGTGTTCCAATTCTAGGCACCACAATTCAAGAGAGATATTGACAAGCTGGAATGTGTCCAGAGGAGGGCGACTCAAATGATCAAGGGTCTGGAGAACAAGCCCTATGAGGAGCGCTTAAGGAGCTGGGCATGTTTAGCCTGAAGAAGAGAAGGCTGAGAGGAGACATGATAGCCATGTATAAATATGTGAGAGGAAGCCACAGGGAGGAGGGAGCAAGCTTGTTTTCTGCTTCCTGGAGACTAGGACGCGGAACAATGGCTTCAAACTACAAGAGAGGAGATTCCATCTGAACATGAGGAAGAACTTCCTGAATGTGAGAGCCGTTCAGCAGTGGAACTCTCTGCCCCGGAGTGTGGTGGAGGCTCCTTCTTTGGAAGCTTTTAAACAGAGGCTGGATGGCCATCTGTCAGGGGTGATTTGAATGCAATATTCCTGCTTCTTAGCAGAATGGGGTTGGACTGGATGGCCCATGAGGTCTCTTCCAACTCTTTGATTCTGATTCTATGATTCTCCTAGTCTTTGCACCTCTCCCTTTGCTCATCTATCCTGTCTTCTCTGCTGTCTGTCTCTTCTTGCACTGATCTGCATCTCGTGGTGTCAGAGCGCAGTCTGTTCAGTGCCTTTCCAAGTTGCCCAGTTTTCTGTGTGCCCAGAGGGAGTCTATTATTTGGTATCAGCCATTGGTTGAGGTTCTGGGTTTGAGCCTGCCACTTTTGGACTCTCGCTTGCTGAGTGTTCCAGCGAGTGTCTCTGTAAATCTTAGAAAACTATTTCTAGATTTAAGTCATTGACATGTTGACTGATACCCACAGAGGATGAGTTGGAGATGTCTCTGCCTTGGTCCTTTCACTATTGGCTGCTACTTCCTGGCGGATGTCAGGTGGTGCAATACAGGCTAATGTATAAATACGTGAGAGGAAGCCACAGGGAGGAGGGAGCAAGCTTGTCTCCTGCTTCCCTGGAGACTAGGACACAATGGAACAATGGCTTCAAACTACAAGAAAGGTGATTCCATCAGAATATGAGGAAGAACTTCCTTTTTTTTTTAAATTAAATTTTATTGGTTTTATATCTATAGTGGTAGTAGACATATAACAATCGCACGACCTACCTATGCATGTGACAGACAATACAGACAAAACAGACAAAATAACATTGAATATAACATATTTTTTGTATTGATTTTCTAGATATCATGTTAGTATATTTGTTCCTGTTTCAAAACATCTCCCTCTTGCTTCCCTCATGGTTAAATTTATTTGTTATAATAATGTTATGTAGAGTATTCGTATTTCTTATTTTCATTCAGTTTTTCCCCTTTCTCCTTCCTCTCCACTTCCGCCTGTGAGGGATAGTAGGGTGGGAGAAGCGGTTCGGGGGTAGGGGAATCTAAATGTGCAATTGAATTCGAAAAGGGAAAAACAATGTTACATTTCGGATCCTAGGGAAAAAAAAGAAAAAATCCCTGGTGGGGGGGGGCGAGGGGGCAGATTGTATATTCTCATTGCATCAGATCCCATCACCTAAAACACCCTAAGTGACCTAAAAACACTTCCAAGGCTATTCTGGGCAGGTATTATAATGAAGGGCATTATTGCTCCTCTATTTTGCTTATCAATCATACGTCGGATACTTAATAATATTCCCTGGGGAGCTTTCATTATTCTATACTGATATCAATTTCGTTATTYCATCTTTTAACATAATCGATAAAGCTTTCCCAATTAGTTTTTGGAGGTTTTGGCACATTTTGGGATATTTTATGTGTTAGAATATCCATATTCATTATATCCCATGTCTTTAACATCCATTGATCTATCGTTGGAATTTCTGGGGATTTCCAAATCTTAGCTATAACAGTTCTGGCGGCAGTTGTAAAATAGAAGAGTAATTTGTCTGAATTTTTATTTTGTAAAGGGTCTGTGATTCCCAACAGCATGMTTTCCGGTCTGAATGTTATTTTCTCTCCTAATATTGTCTGTATCGTTTTGTTAACTTGTTGCCAGAAATTTTTYATTTTTTTACATTTCCACCATGTGTGTATGTAGCTTCCTTTATGTTTCCCACATTTCCAGCAGGTATTTTTGGTTCTCCCTCTGCTAAATTTGGATATCTTTTCGGGCGTATAGTACCATCTATAAAATGATTTGTACCAGTTTTCTTTCATATTAGTCGAGTATGTATATTTGATTTTTTGGCGCCAGACCTCTTCCCATTCTGACATTTTTATTGGCCTACCTATATCTCTGGACCATTGGATCATATTCTGTTTGACTTGTTCTGTCTC